CTGCAGATTGTTATTGCCGTCTGAAGTTGTAAATCGCTCTCTTCAAGTAGTAAGCTCCTAGTGGTTTGCTCTTTCATGCCACAAAGTATTCTGAAGGCTATAAGTTCCTCAGCGACTGCTCCAAAATTGCAGTCTTTTGCTAATACTCTGAGGTTAGTGATAAATTCATCAAAGCTCTGATTTTCCTTTTGTGTTTGTCACCTATGGTGAATTCTTTGGGTGGTTTAAATGCCATATTACTTCCTGGGGAGACGAAATTTTTGGGTTTTCTTTGTTTCCTTAACCTCACTTTTACTTTTCCCTCCTTTTGGTATATACTTTGGATTATTAGCTGATTTTAAGAGTTCCACTAACTGCTGCCACCATGTTACATACTTCTCATGAGTAGGTAATGAAGTTCATTGTTTAATAAAAGGATCGGTTATTATAATATTGTTTTAATAAACTTTGTAATCGTCAACTCAAAAGTATGCTTGAAAAATGAATGCCCTGCAGTGTTCTTCGGGAGAGAGGGGCTGTCAGTTAAAATCTCAAATAAAAAACAATGCATCAAACCATGGCTGACACAGGGACTATTGTTTTCAATAAGGCAAATGGATGCATTGAAAAAGATATCTACCATTAACCCAAATAACCAAGAGGCAATTAATACATGATAATAGGAATCTTGAATACAATGGAAGTGCTTTTTTTTTGTTAATTTATAAAACGATGTACTATAAAAGTAAAGATGATGGTACTGTCTGTAGGTTAATCGAGGAGGTGGTACATTCATTATTCCAAATTTTTTGGGATTTTCTCTCCTCGTTTCTATAAAATGAAAATATGAATATTATTTCAATATACGTGTAGTAAGGACAAATCAGATGATTTGCCCCAAAATGTCACTGCGTTTAAAGAATTTTCCTATCAGAGAGCTTAAAAGAAAAATTCACTAGCTTGTCAGTGACAATTTGTATTGAAAATCAAATAACATCTTTGTAACGAGTGTATATCCTAAAAAGACCCTACTAACAGATACTTGAACTTTCAATCAAATCATCAGAAAAGTATTAAGAAAGGAATAATCAAATCACTCCATGATAGAGCCAAATCAATATCATCTGACCAACAAATTTTCAATAACGAAGTCCACCACATTAAAAATGTTCTCCAGCTCAATTCCTATCCAAAGAATTTTGTCGATAGGACGATTCATCAAATTGAAAACAAACAGGGTCAACCACAACAAAATCAACCATCAATAACGACAAATATAATACCAAACATTCCCGGCATATCTGAAAAAATAAAACGTGTTGGTGATAAATTTCAAGTGAAAACTGTGTTCAAAACTGAAAATACAATGAGATCAATTCTACCTCAAACAAAGCCGAAAAATGAAGAACAATCGTCAAAAAATTGTATCCTAAAAATCCCAAAAAATTTTGAATAATAAAGATGATGGTCTTAAAAATGACTCGAAGCTATGGGAGAACACGAAGGAGGCTACAAATGAATCCCTCAAAAAATCGCAAATTGATCTGTGACAAATAAAAAAGGTTTAGAAATATGCAAACTCAATGATATAGCAAATGAATTCAACGAATTCTTCACTACTATTGGTAATAATCTAGCACGGAAAATTGTAAAACCATTAAATTCGCAACATATTGAAATTAATCAGAATTCTGAATCAGAAATCCTTAGTGTCATAAACTCCCAAAAAAATGGAACTGTTGGAGGTGAAGACATCTCTCCAACATTTATAAAACAGTACTACAAAGCTCTACTCAAGCCTATGAAACAGATTATCAATATCATTTTTAGCAGTGGTATTTTCCCAAGTAAGCTAAAAGTTCTACTACAGTTGTACCAATTTATAAAGATGGAGATAAGAGGGATCCTAGCAACTATAGTCCAATAGCCCTAACTAGCGTCAAAAGTAAAATTGTGGGAGAATGTATCAAGACCAGGTTATGGGATTTCCTAATAACTAATAAAGTTATATCTAATATGCAATATGGATTCAAAGACAATTGCAGTACTGATAATACACTTTTTGAAGTGCCAAATTTTATTATACAAAGTTTCAACAAAGGTCTTAAATCACTAGGTATTTTTCTGGATTTGAAAAGGCGTTTGACACTGTGCACCATACACTACATGAAAAACTTGAAGATATAGGAATCAGAGGCATCACACTTGACCTGCTTGAATCATTCTTACAGGGAAGGGTTCATAAAGAGGTTCTACCTACAGTGAACCAAGAGTAGTGAAGTATGGTGGACACCTCAGCAGGCATCAGATAGACCTATTCTAGATGATTCAGCTTTTGGCGGACTAATATATCACATGAGCAAATTATGTGTTCCGCGGTTCCGGTCGCGTTGTTGCAAAAGCGGCAAGTGTCCGTCTCCACTAGACCCACCTCTTTGAGGTGACACCTTAGAGGGCACTGTCATGTGATAAGCTTCAGCTCTGGTTTGCTGATGCTGAGTAGCTCTTTGGCTCGGTTTTGCGAATGGTTGATGAACCTTTTCCCTTGTCGTTGACCCGGAGTTGCTCTCCAGTAGGAATACTTTTCGATCTCTTCCCATTTCCTAAGCTTTTCCATTATGTGATATTTGCTTGTCCCACAGGAAGGCTTAGGACCAAAGAATGCAGACTCTGCACCTTTTTTTGCAAGGCGATCAGCTGCCTCATTCTCTTCGATTCCTTCATGCCCTGGAATCCACATAAGTGTGACTTTGTTGTCCATTCCAAGTTGCATTATTGTTTCAAAGCAGTCCCATGTAATCTTTTAGGTAAAAACAAGTGATTTTGGGATTTTAGTGCGGATTGTCAATCTGAACAGAGTGAGAATAAATGTTGGCACCCCTCAGACCCTTGCTCAGGCACCTTTGGGTGCATAGGTTGATGACATGCATTTCCGCTTGGAAGATAATGGGAGAGTGACCTAAGGCTTCAAATATCCCACATCCGGGTCCATACAAACCAGCGCCTACCCCGTCCATTTTCGAACCATCAGTGTACAAGGGACCCTCTTTCCAGCCGAAACTCAGCGGAACCCTGCCTAAGGCGGCTTTTTATAACCACTTCGGATGCATGATCGAAACTGAGCCCGGCTGGCATTAGGTCTGATTCCATTTGTACTTATTTCAGAATGTCTATGTGACCAGTCATATCACATGGTCTGGCCAATTCAGTGGAGTTCAGTCTGTATGCACTGAGAGCTGCAGGCCTCTTGATAAGAATATGCAAGGGTAGTAAATCAAGCATTGCTTCCATTGCTGCAGTAGGACACGTACGCATAGCCCCCAGACACGCTAGTCTGGATTTTTTGTAGCTTAAGTTGTGCTATTTTTATCTTACTTTGGGTCTACCACTCTAGAGAAGCGTATGTGACCATCGAATGACCACCGTGAGGTGAGACCAGTAGTACATTTTTGGTTTTAGACTCCAAGTTTGGCCAAACATCCTTCGGCATATCCAGAGATCTGAAATTGCTTTATTGGCGATTTTGGCAAGTGTTGATTCCACGTGAGTTTTTTAACAAGGATTGGTACTAGATATTTGACCTTTTCGTCGAAGTTGATAGGCGTCCAATACATTATGGGGTCCTCTAAATTGATCTTCCTTCTTTTGCTGAATGAAACGATGACTGTTTTACTACTCTGATAGCACCAGTCTTTCAGCATGTTGAGTGCAGTCTGTATTGGGTTTGATAAAATCATATCATGCTTGCCTCTTATTATTAAGACAATGTCATCCACATAGCCTTGAATATCGAGGCCAATGGTGGTTAGTTTGTTGAGTAGGTTATCGACAACTATGGACCATAAGAGAGGAGACATTTTACCTCTTCATCGAAGTTGATAGGCGTTCAACCCATTATGGGCCTTTAAATTGATCTTCCTTTTTTTGGTGAATGGAATAATGACTGTTCTGCTTGGGTTGACATTCAAGCCCTCCTGATAGCATCAGTCTTTCAGCATGTTGAGTAGAGTCTGCATTGGGTTTTATAAAATCCTATCATGCTTGCCTCTTATTATCATGACGATGTCATCCACATAGCCTTGAATATCGAGGCCAGCGGTGCTTAGTTTATTGAGTAGGTTATCGACAACTATGGACCATGAAAGAGGAAACAGTACCCCTCCTTGGGGGCAACCTCTTGTGTCTCGTGCAGTTACCGAGCCACTTCCCATTCTTCTACTCCTGAGTATAGATTGTATCCAGTCAGTCGGTGGGGCCCCGAGTCCCTTGAGGTTTGTGGCTCGCTCTATCGATTCATAGGAAGTTTTATCGAACGCTCCATCTGATGTGTTGATCAGGAAGTTTCTCCATTGTTTTCTGATGAAATTCTTGCCAACCTTTGGAATATAGACCACATTTACAGCTCTCCATGTTTTCGGAATGTAGCGCAAGAAGTAGCTGGCTCGAAATAATCGAACCAGTACGGGCATCAGTATCTCCTCGATTCCCTGTTGACCAGGGCAGCGTATGCAAATTACTTCCGCGGTATATATTTTTTCAAATTCCCAGAAAAAAACAATTTGCATGCATTTACTAATCGTTTGAAATCATCAATGTTAAATGAATATTCAAATTTGATTAATGACGCATCTGCATGCGAGTACAAATTGATAATTGTCTAGGACATATCAAAAACCCATAAAAATCATTACTTGAAAGTTGCATACATTGAGAAAACGTTGCGAAAAATCTGTCATTACCGGCGAGTCTATTAGGGCAAGAAGACGAGCCTCTTCTGGAGAATGCCCTTCTGTCACCAGCCAATCAAAAGTAGGACTGTCTTCCTAGCCTCTGGTGGCGAACGTTGTGGATATAGATATTTCAGAGACGTAGAATGTTTACTTGGATCGGTACGAATTATTCCAAGTGGTCTGGCTGGCCTCGTTTTTGGCTTTGAAATATACTTTGTCAAAACGTATGCTTCTAGGATCATCTTAGTTTTTAGAAAATATTGTATATTTTGACTGAGTTTTTCATTTCAGGTAGAGGAACACTGAGTAGTGACATTGTGAAAGTCTTCAGCCATTTTAAAGCTTTACATAAAGCTAAATTACAACTTGTTGAAATCAGCCCAGTCTTGAGTGAAATACAGTCTAGACGATTATGTTCACAGAGCCATTTGTGTAGTGAAAAAATGGTGGTGTACAGACAAGGTCAGTAAAGTTCGCATCTTTATTTCCTAATCAAACAGGTACATTCATTTTGATTTGTTATTTGAGTATAAAAAAAATCTTTTAGGCGTGAACATTTTTCATTCAGATGTTCATATCATATCATATATGTCATCTAAACTGTCATTCTTGATATCCACTTGAAATTGAGTAGGAGTATGGGATCCATATTTTCGTAGTCGTTTGAGAGAGCTTCCTCAGAGCTATCATAATTTATAAGTTTCACGATGATATTTTGTGACAGCCATATCAACTTAATATTTGTGTATTATAAGCAAAAGCTTTTATATGAAATCGACAATACAATATCAAACTATCTGTTATTAAAAAATGATTATCGATTACTTAATATTTTGAAACTTTGAGTATACAATTATTGATGCAAATTATAAGACTTTGAGTAGTAATTATATTATAAAATATCAAATCAATGTCAAACTTCTTCGTCCTGAGTCGCCCTGTAATGAATGTGTCAAATGAGTGGAGTAAAATGTAATCTACCAATCTCTTTTGTTGCAAGAGTTAACTCGAAGTCAAAAATTCCAGTTCGAACGACAGTCACAGAGTAGAATACAGGGTGTTTCTAAAATTGGAGCGATCCTTGAATTTCATAACACAATAAATAGTAAAAAAAATTTGAAGTAGTCCAAAATTTTCGAAAATTGTGTGAATTTACTAACCATAGTTTGAAATGTACTGGTTTGTTGCGCCAACGCTGCGATCTGTGCTGAGGCCGACTGCATCAGCAGTATGAGCATTCGCCTGGTCATTCGCACTGTTGCCAGGTTTCAAGCTATTACGGAATAAAGACAGTTAATAGAGTCTCAAGTCATTTCATAACAAGAACTTTAACGAGTTTTTGAAAATGAACAGATTCACAATAAATGTTCAAAATCAGCGCCACCACTATTTATGCAGAGACTTGTACGACTTACTACTCGCGCAAGCATGCTGACATACGTGAAAATTATCTTGTTGTTGCATCTCGAGAATTACGTTGTCAATTGTTTCGCGTAAAATGTCCCGGTTTTCGATATCCAGAAACGGTTGTGCACAGACCAGCAAGTTCATCTTACCTGTTACCAGCAAGATGTATGGATTATTCCCATGAATGTATGTGAGGCTTGCCATATTTTAACACATACACAAATCTTTGGTAGAAGTCCATATTGCTCAAAGTGGAGTGAAATATTTCACAGGAAGGAAAGAATGCTCCAAGTCGTCTCCACAAATTTTAATGTAATAATATCATTGAAATTTGTGGAGATGACTTGGAGCATTCCTTCCTTCCTGTGACATACATTAATGAAACTAAAATGTTTTCATAAAATATTAGATTCAATACGGTTCAACAACGACAATCACTTGAAAATGATAGGTAACAAAATAGAAAAGTTTTTCCAAAGACACGGTATCTCATCTCATAACTGAGCAAAACAGAATGAAAGATAAAATACGACCACACGAGAACACGAATACTGAAGAGTGAAGACTGGACTGAAGACCATCAACTGACGGCGTATGGCGTTAGCGAAATTTTGAGTGATTCCCCTAACTTGCAACTACGGATACGCTTGAGCAGATCATTCAACCTCGACTGGCAGGCACGCAGAAATTGTGCAAATATTGAACAACCTATATGCCTCTAAGATTTCGATCTCTCTGACACATTAGCTTCAATGAAAGAAATAATATTTTTTATTCTTTTTCTTAAAATATATTGTAACTACCCAAGCCAGTTCGCTTGGTAGAATATTTCATCATGATCAAGAGTATTGATTCATTTTGGAAGTCATTTTCTTATTTGAGGATCATAGTTAGTGATTCAGTTCATGACTCCATTAATGAGGGTTCAATTTCTATGAGTAGTTGCATTTTCTATCAGAGGAATAAGTAGCAAATCATCACGAGATCATAAATTCTATCACTCCAACTTTGGATTGTATCCCAGGTATGGTAAGACCTTGTTGGATACTCGATTCTACAGTGTTGTGCTTTGTTACAACATCAGGAAGCTTGGTGAGTAATCTGGACTTCGATTTGTATCGATTTATTCCAGCTACAAAGGCAGGAAGAGTCTGTTTTGTGGAAAAAACTCTACCAATTCACGAATGTTTGACGCTGTCAGACGTTCATAAATTCACTTCAAATCTGAAGTAGAACCACAGGGACAGACTTATAAGTATGTGAAAACAGCTACCTGATCTTTGGACATCGTATGTTCACAGCTAGAAGCCTCATAATGCAAGGGAGCACCCTAAAATGGGGCCAAAAGGGGGCCAAATCCAGGTTTGTTTCAATAAAAGAACATCAGTAACCATGGAAGTGGTCCTAGTGACAATCACAACAAACGGTTTCCCTATAAATAGCAGCTCGAGCCACGATATCGGCAGAACATTTCCAACCTTCGAAGAAGCAACATCTCCAGAAATAAAAGACTCATAGGAAAAGAAAAGCATGGAAGTATACCAGGCCTCTACCTCCGTCAGCCCGAAGGAAGGAGTTGAAGAACCAGGTCCCAGTATAGTAGTATCTCAGTATTTGCAAGATAGTCCATTCCAAATAGAGTAAATTCATCACATTATATCGTTTGTTATTGTACTTCACTGCTACTAGAGCTGTTGCTCACCCTTGACCAGTTGAAAATAATCTGAAGTGCTTATAGATGACGATGAGTGGTCGAATTGCTCGATGGTACTATGGGAGCGCGTCCCCTGTTGCTCTTAAAATAATTAACAGTAGGCATACTGAAATGGACGTCCCTGTGGAGGTGTACACCACGGAGGTGGCTTGCAACCACTCTTATTTTATTCCCGACGGGTGACGATCCTTTTGCTAAAAGATGGCCCAGCCCAGAGCAATTAGAGTGGAGTGCAAACATATGCCGTCCCAGCAATTGATCAGTTAATACCAAACATAAACTTTTGCGGCTGAGTCTTGGTTGTACCAGTGAAGAGGTTTGATTGCTAATTGATAAGTCACTTTACTTCACCTCGTACACTTGCATTGTAAAAAGCTGCGTGGTTAATAAATGCTCTCGAACTTCACTTGATTTTCATTTCTTCTCTACCTTCACAGAACTCTGTATCCACGAACTTAAATAAAAAAAAATACACAACGTGGGAACATGTTTGAGAGGTGTCGAATTGAATCTCGATACTTCTCGAACATGATAAATACTAGACGATCACATGAAATATGGTTATATAATTCCATATTTAGACAAGACCCGGGTGGGTTTGGTTACAATATAGGTAAAAAATAATCGATTTATCTTCAATGAAGGAAAAATAAAATTCGTATTAGGAGTCGGATTCATGTTATTTCATCATGGTTTTGTTTGATCTGTTAACAATTAAACAAGCTAGTGAAAGCATGGAAATTAAGTGTGAAGTTGGTAGATTGTCAAAGAAATAAAATTCTTGAATAAAATCAATTTCGACTTTTTCTGTGGAATACTTGCATTATTTTCCTTGAATTTAGGTTTCATACTGCTGAAAAAAATCTACTAATTCTCCATGGTTAGTTGAACAATTTGTTCACCTTCTCCCAGGGTGAAATTCCTTTAAATCATAAGCAATCATTCAACCCCCTTCAGATTATACAACACACACTATACCTCCCTGTCCTTTACCATGACAAATAGACGGCGGTCGGTAACCTCCGACTGCACGTCTGATCAGTGATCAGACGTGCCATTTAGGCTTGAACTTTCAAATTCAATATCTTCTAAAATATTTTTTTTTCACAAAAATGTATTCTTTCATTTCGTCTTCTATTACCCATTCCAAGGATAGGTCCTATTTTAGAAACACCCTGTATACACAATCAGACGAATTTCGAACACAAATGAATAAACTCTTCGACGGAATACATAATCAAAAGTAGTCGGTATACAAATTACAGAAAGAAGTTGAATTATTCTGACAGTATTCGTGGATTTCTTTATTTTATTCTCTTAGGAACCAGCCATCATGGAATACCAGTTCAATGGTACAAGCAACTGAGTGATGTTCCTAGTGGATTTACTTTATTGGTGGCACATGAATTTTTTGACGCTCTGCCGATACATAAGTTCCACAAGACCTACAGTGGGTACAAAGAAGTTCTAATCGATATTGATCCAAATGCAGAAACTAACAATGAAAACAGTGAACCAAAATTCAGGTTGGTATAAATGGATAATATAATAATTATACCTTGATAGATTTATATAGACTAAGGAAGATAAACAAGCAGTGGCACTAGGGACAGACGATCATAAATTATGTTGAAGCAGATCATTTGCATTGCCTAAACAAGAACATGAATATGCTCTTGGATTAGAGCTTAGATTAAGGCTTTTCATGCCTTCCTTCCTACACATGTTCAGATAAACAGTAGTATATTACATAACTAGTGTGGAAAGTGACATATTTCGCGCGAGTGGACCATTAGTACGAGCCGCAGAGCGGCGAGTGCGGAAACGAAACGAGCGCACGAAATGAACTTTCCAACGAGTTCTGTACACTATTTTTCCTACGACCACAAATATTTATATTATATGTCATGAGTGTTTATGAGACCAGAGTAGGGATCATGTTTCTAATTATATTCGATCACATAAAGGTGATATCATTATCATTATTATTTAATTTAACTTTTATATTTAGATGACATCATTAGTTCAACGTTAACTTAACATTAACTTAACATTATTTCAACATTAACTTAACATTATTTCAACATTAACTTAACATGAACTTAACATTAACTCAACATTTACTCAACATTAACTTAACATCAACTCAACATTCACTTAACAACAACTTAACATAAATTCAACAGTTAATTAACATTAACTTGAAATTAACTCAACATCAACATTAACTTAAAATTAACCTAACATTGACTTAACATGAAATTAACATTAACTCATTAATTATTCAACATTAACTCAACATTGAATCAACATTAACTCAAAATTAACTTAACATTACCTTGAAATCAAATTAACATTAACTCAATATCAAATTGACATTAACTTCACATCAAACACTGAATTGCCAATACATTGACATCATTTCAACTTTCAATTGAAATTAAATTGATTTCAACTTTTCATCAACTTAACATTACGTCAACAGTAAAGACAATATCTCATGTTAAATCGACACTAACTTTCCATTAACTTGACAATAACAACTTATCTCTACATTACTTTAACATTAACCTACCATTAGCTCAACATTAATTTCACAATAACTTAACATTAACAATAACTTAACATTAACATTAGCAGTTACAAGCTTACCCGATAGATGACACAAGCGCTGTTGTAGACAGCAACGAGGTTATGTCTCGCGATATACGATTTATTAATTTATTATGTATGACAAAGAAACATGAACCTGATCAAGATGCTAAATGATGAAAATTATAAACTAATGAAAATGAATGTATTTGAATGGACGTTTAATAAATACCTATAGTTATTCATTTACCAAGTAAGTACATCATATATCTTCCTAAACCTTGTGTGGTGAGCGTGAGTTTTTTTAATATTTCAACACGTGAGATTTCGAACTTTTGCATCACTATGGTGACATGAGCTACTTCCTAAATAACAAAGTGGTGTGTTTTATGCTGTTTTCATAGGTGGTCGTAGGAAAAGGTATATTATTTACAAAGTCTATAAGAGTAACTCAAGCAAAAAAAAATAGGACGAACCCTCTGCACGTTACTGACATTCCATGCTCAAGGCACTCCAACTGACATTGGAAAGACCATTCCATATATCTTCCTGTCTTCAATCTTTGTTCTTCAAATATATAACCATCATCAATATAACAAGGGCATGTAAACATGGTGATTCGCGGTGGATGGCATATTAGAAGTATATGGAGAACGGTTAGACAGGTCATTCTGAATATTTTTATGGATCAATATCGAGCATCCTCTATCCGTCTAAAATATTTCCATCGGTACAGTGTTGCCGCTTGTGTCAGGAAGAAGCAGTAACTTGGTTATATTCTGTCTAATTATTCCATATACCTATCTGAAGCCGTTTTCGAGATAATAATTGGAATTTTTTTAGCAAAATATATCATAATTTTAATTTGGATATTTTCATAATTCAAAACATTTAGCAGCTAATAGTTGGGAGACGAAGAGGTCGTGCCGAGAGCTCTACATTGTTCAGGAAAATGTCAGTTTAGTCAGAAATCAGAACCGTTTAGAAACATGAAATACAGGGTGTTCCATTTGAAAAATACCAGTTCATGTGACATTGTTAGGTTTGCTATACATTTTTGCATTTTCTAGTACTAGATTCTGAATGCCCATAAAAAATACTTCACTTTTGCCAATTAGAACGTTTCTGTACGACCAATATTAACCGAGATAGCTATTGAGTAAAATATAAACAATCACCCTGTACATACACTACACTGTTTTACCACTAACCAAACCGATTTTTTTAACGCCTCGACACGTGTTTCGCTAACTATGTTAATCTTCTTCTCCTGAAGATGCTAACATAGTTAGCGAAACACGTGTCGAGGCGTTAAAAAAAATCGGTTTGGTTAGTGGTAAAGTGGTGTAGTGTATTATCGTGCCAAAGGTTCCAGTCTTCGATACACCCTGTACATACATACCAACAAATTACATATACCAACTACTACTATAATAAATAGAAATTGGCAGCCGACATGACCTCTAACCCCACCAGTGCTAAGACCCTTCCAGATTATCTGCCATTAATTATCAATCAATAATATACAGTGTGTTTCAGGTTGAATGGTAACAATTCATTATTTTATAACGGGTCGGCCGATTTTCGAAAACATAGTAGGTACTGCAGGAGAGAGCTATGGGGATCTGACAATGATTGTAACAATATTAAGATATAATGTCATGTGAGATGATTATAATTGCTGGTGTGCCCACTAGTTGTTTTGTCAGACTAACGCCCGATATAATAATAATAATAATAATAATAGCATTTATTGTTCCCAAGAAACATAGAATGTTTATAGAGGGAAACAAAAAAAAAATCAAATAAGCAATTGAATTTGAGATCAGAGCGTGTGGTTCTTATATTTTATGATAGATGGCGTGAACAATGGAAAGTATCAAGATGCGTTTCGAATCTTATGAAGTTCAGCAAACTTTTTAAGAGAGCATAAATCTGTCGAAACACTCCCATCACGTGATATGTTGAGATTCGTGATATTTGGATGAGTATTTTTTGCAAAAAAAAACTATGGACGCCGAATTTGGCCAGCGAGTTGTACCAGGGCCTACTCTATCTCACCGGGCCGTAGTCTATCCCCTCTCTCTCGACGCTGACGTCACACTAGTAGGTTGAGATTTCACATTAGTTCGTACTGGTGCGTTCGTAATTGATAGGCTATAGCTCATTTACTATACATTTTAGAAGCACACTTGATCGAGACGAAATGATCCCCAACGAATTCCCCAACTTCTGGTGAAAATATGAATCCAATAGGATGAATAAATACCGAGTTATGGCGTTGTAAAGAAATTCCATTTTATTGAAAATCAGGACGTTGTACTACAGAATACTATTTTTTGCAAATTTTATCGGAATAAGATAAAACTAACTCAGTATATCAAACTAGGATAATGCATCAATTGAATAGTGAAAAAATTGTTGAGTGACCTACAATCAGTCCGAAAGAAATTAAATATGAAGAACGCGTAAAAAATGGGCCATTATACCTACCTACCCAAATTTCGCTGTTTAACGATTTCGCGATAATTCCTTTGACTGGTAAACGACGATATACTTTTTATTACTCATTTTATTTCTGAATGGCGTATGGTTATAAGACGTACGAATATTGGTGTCTGAAAAATTCGAAACAATATTTCTACAATGTAAGTCACAACAGTCACACAAAGTTTTGGAAAATTTAGCAGAAATCAAAATCAATTCCCTTTTCAATTATTCCGAGAATCAATGTTGCAGTTGTGGGTCTTTTGAAGGAATCATCAGAATATTCCAAATTTTCTGTTGAACAATTATTGCAAAATCAAAAATAGTGGGATTAAGTCCAATAATAAAAAAAAGTAAAATCACTAAACTTTCAGGATGAGATATAGTCAAGATTTCATTTTTAGTTTGTGATTTAGATATATTTATATTTTTTGTTATTAGTGCATTTCATTTTGTGATATCTAATAGTTTTCTTCTTCATTTTCTTGTATTAATCATTCCTACAGTTTATTTTGTTTGGTTTTGTTTGTATAGGGATTAAACTTTTTTTTTCTCATTTATTCATTTATCGTTGTTCGGGGTTTTTCGTTATTCTAAAATTGTTCTATCCCTCATTCAGTTCGTTATATTTATTTTTATACCTCTCATTGTTGAAATACATATTTTTTGAATTATTTTTGTTTGGTTGTGTTCCTATGAACTCCACGTATTTTGTTCTTTTTAATTTTGATAAAAACATTAATACCGAATAGGCGTTTTTGTGTAATAACACACTCGAGTGATAGGATTTCTAACATCATCAAAGTGCGTCCTGATCATCTTTAGACATAAACGCTGTTAAAACCCTCCGAGATAAAGTGGATGTGTATTGTACGGATTCTGTAATGAACACCTGAATCATCGTTCTACTTGAATTGAAATATCGGTTTGTTATTGGCCCTTGGGAATTAAAAAAAAGGCGTTTTTGTAATAACACACTCGAGTGATAGGATTTCTAACATCATCAAAGTGCGTCCTGATCATCTTTAGACATAAACGCTGTTAAAACCCTTCGAGATAAAGTCGATGTGTATTCTAGATACTATGAGAAATCTTTTCATGATTGAATCATTACTGTGAATTAAATATTGGAATTTTGGTAGCTGTTTAAAAAGGGACTATTCTGAATGGCGTCAATTAATTTTGATCTGCGATATTTTTGAAACTAATGATCGTAAATCAGTGAAAATTGATTCATCTTCTGAAAAATTCTGTTCTGTACATATTTGACCTCTTGATATTTTTTGCTAACTGTAACCGTTTTCCCGAGGTATATCAATGAAACGGGAGAGACAATTTCCACTGCGTTGATTTTGTCCCTTCTAGTGTGACGTCACGAAAGCGATGCTCCGGTCCGGTGAGATAGAGTAGGCCCTGGTTGTACCCTAGCCCGATAATAGCATGCGTTAGCCCACTATGTCTATTGGCCGACTTAACTAGACTTTTAAGGATGTGTTCTTCTGCTTTCGTTTCCCAAATACGTCCAAAATGTATCAGGTTATATGAAATTCTTCGAAAGATTCAAATTGAAAAATTATAAATCAGTGTTAGTGGTATATCTTTTTCATCACACCTGAATGAATAACTACGTCTGCATAAAGCATTTTTTCTGAAAATGAAACCATAAAAACAAGAGTAGTTTTATAAGGCACGAAAAGCGATGCCTTGAAATGATGCACAGCTTTCAGCATACTATATTTGAAAAAAATCTAAAAATCAGTCACGGATTGATGAAAATTATAAATGTGGCTTCTTGTCCTTGGACCTATGTAAGGCATTTGACACTGTAGATCATACAATTTTACTAAATAAATTATATTCAATCGGCGTCAGAGGAAGAATTCATGATTGGTTCACACATTATTTGACAAATAGAAAGCAGTATGTTGAAGTGAATGATCTTTCTGGCTCACTAAAGAATATTACATGTGGAGTACCGCAAGGATCAGTTCTGGGACCGATTTTATTTTTAATTTATATTAATTCAATATCAACTCTGAAATTGAAAGGAAAGCTAAAATTATTTGCGGATGATACAACATTGATTTATATATCCAAAGAATTAAATGATATCGAACGGGATATTACGAGTGATTTGGAAAACATATCATCTTGGATGCAAATTCATAAGTTGACTCTTAATTATAACAAATCTTCATATATGTATATTTCTAAAAGATCAGTTAATATTTCGAATAATGCTATAACTTTCAACAATAGATTAATTAAATATACAGACGTGACAAAATTTGTAGGTCTCTATATCGACGAAAAATTATTATGGACTAAACATATAGACTATTTGAGAAATAAAATAAATCCGATCATAGGCATTTTATTCAAAATCCGAAATATTATTCCCATAAAATACTTGAAATGTATTTACTTTTGCCTCATTTATTCAAATTTGCAATATTTAATTTCTATTTGGGGGAGTACAAATATTTCACGTTTGAAACCTCTAATGAAATTACAAAACAAATCAATTAAGTGCATTTTTCATCTACATTTTCTAGAACTAACGATAAATTTATACAAACCAAGACATTTTCTGAACCTGATTTCGTTATATAAACTTAAAATATGTTGCTTTATTCATTTTGCCAGTTTCAATGAAGTCAATACAGTCCATAATTATGGGACTAGACAATTGAATTACTTGATTGCAAATACATTCAAGTCAAACATTGGCAAACAATCTGTTTTTCACAATGGAATAATTTTATACAATTCATTACCGAATGAGTTAAAAAATTGCTCAGGACAATTTGAAAGAAAAATATGTGGCATGATTTGATTACTTAGGAATGAAATATAACTTTAATCTTATAAGACACAATATTAATTCATTTCCATTGAGTGGAATTCATTATAGTTAACCCTTTATTATTATTTTTTTTATATGTATTTATGTATCCCTATCATAAACAGAAATGTTTCTTGGGGTAATAAAGACAATCAATCAATCAAAAATACTGAATTGTTGCCACAAGTGAAACACACTATTATAACAGGGCGTTCCATTGAAAACAAACTGACTCAAGATTATTTCTAAAAGGCACTATATGACTGTAGAATTTCTATCACACTTTATATCTTCTGATGAAATTTTTTCAAATCAGTACCGAATTCTGACATCACGAAAATTTGACAGTTCGTTGTTTGAAATGGCAACCTCCCTCTTATGTCGAGAAGATTATATGCTGAAATTAACGTTTACTCAGAAACTCTGAAATACAATTTTACATATCTCTGTTTTACCTATCAAGTTGTTCATTTTACTCAATAGGTACGTCCTTTCACGAAACGATACCCCGATGCAGAAAACACTGCTCAAACCCGATGAAACTAGAGATCATGTAGAAATATCACCTGACAGTATTTTAATCTACAAGCAAATTTGTGAAAGATTGAAAGCCACTGGAGGGCTTGCTCTCATCTGTGATTATGGATATTACGGGACTGGCACTGACACTTTTAGAGCTTTCAAGAAACATAAACAGGTGGATCCATTGGTTTTGCCGGGAACTTCTGATTTGACAGCAGATGTTGATTTCAAGACGATTCGTGAGGTGAGTAGAACAACATTTACGAATTATGGTGCAAATCTCCCATTTTCTGGGATTCTTCTGGTACTTGAGAGATTTATGCTATTTTTTCATTTGTGAATTTCATTTTGATAGCTACCTTTGGTCAGGCAACCCACAATGCTCTCACCATTTCGCGAATTGTGTTGTTTTGGACTGAGGTGAGTTGCTATAAATCGGCTTATTTTGACCTCAGAAATATGTGCTGAGAGTTTGTACAGACCTTTCAGGGTCACCCTGTATAATATGATCTCTATATGGTGGCAACGATCTAACATTTTTATCCCACAAAAGAGTATTTTCTGATGGCGATGCCGAGCATAGATATTGTGGACATGGTGGGAATTGTTGTACCAGACATTGTTGTATCAGGGATGCTGATTTCAGCTTTTTTTAGAGAGAATGATTTCGATAGATTTTTTCATGATTTATATTGAATTCTGAGACCAACACGAAAGTTCTGTCATCTTCTATTGCTGAGCAAGCTATTTTCGAAAAGTGTGCGATTTTTGTAGTGTACTCTCTAAAATGTTTCGTCACCTCCATCTACACTTGAACTCGCAGATTTTTTCAATGCTTAAAGCTCGACATCTATTTCTTGCCCAACTGGTCAAAGTGTGCAGTGCATTTTGAGGGAAATTACAATAGATTTTTTCTGAAATTTTTCGAATATGATGAAACAGTTTGAAAATTAAGTGAGTATTAAATACAAGCTACTGGATTTTTCTTTTAGGCTCCCTGATAGAGAAATTTGTTGAACGCAGTGACATTTTGGGGCTAATCATCTGATTTGTCCCACTACAAATATATTGAAATAATACGCATATTTTTATTTTATAGAAACGAGGAGAGAAAATCCCAAAAAATCAAGTAAAAAAATGAGTATTGTTTCAAGTACGGCGATGTATATTTTCATTTCGTAGTAACACCTCTGAATGTAGGTGAGTGATATTGATTTGTTTTTCAGGTTGCTAATAATGAAGGAGGAATTATTTCAATAGGTCCAGCAACTCAGAGAGATTTTTTATTGAAGACTGGTCTCGAGTTTCGTTTCAGAGCTCTCAAAGAGAATATAACAGATAAAAAGCATTTGGAAAATTTGTCTGAATGTTTCAGAATATTAACCGACAAAGATAAAATGGGCGAACGGTTCAAATTTTTTTCACTTTTTCCTGAAACCATGAAAAGAATTTTAGATAAATGTCCTGTTGTAGGATTCACATAGATAGAAAATTCAACCAAGTTTTTTGTTGTGAATAAAAAACGGCACAAATCTGTGATATATTGTCCTGGTTATTAGTTATTGTAACAATTGTGTATAATAATAAAAAATCGTCAGTTAATTTATTTTTATGAGTATATCAATCAGATTCTTCCTTTTGAATGTTTCTTTTTGTGAAATTATTTGTTGTTACGATCATTTTGCTGACTGTGAATAGTTCTATTGGCACATCCCTTATATAGTCTTCAAATTGCGCCCTTGGTTGACTCTCCTTGAAGGATGATTCCCTGCTCGGAATATTGAACATGTTGCTGTTGTTCGTCATTCTGGAATTCGAAGATGCTGAAAATTTAACAATATTAGTATAATTCGTATTTAAAACTTCATGATGATATACATTGGCACCTTTAATCAGAAATAGTAATGATAATTTTCACCCCCTATATTTATAGGTATTCAAAAAAAAAGGACTTAATCTTCAGTCAGAAACAATGAATAATTGATTACATTATTTAATTTGTGAGAAAATGAATTTTGATAACTGCATCCACTGCATTATCTCGTCGATTATCAATGTCCTAGGGATATTATTACTGATAATTGAGCGTTTTTCCTTCCCATTTCAACAATTCACTACACTTTAATAATTTGTATGAAGAAGGAGAAGAAGTGTTCAGGACGCTTTAGGGCGACTTGGTGGACCACGCACACATCTTATGGAAAAATGTCTTTCGGTGAAAATGGCTGGATTTTTTATATGTTGTGGCTGAAGTCATTCTAAGAAAGAATCTCTATTGGCCCAACTCGATCGTATGACCAGATTCGGCGATAGACGGTGAATAATCATTAATTTTGTGAATTTTCGACTTCAATGCTTCTATCTTATGATTCGTACGTTAAGATATAATTTTTCTATATCTATCTTGTGATACATTTCTTTTTTTTTATATATACTACTCCAATATGGTTTTATGTAACAGTCATTACAATACATGTGATGATTGATAATAATTTATAATTCTTCGTGGTAGACCAGGTGAATGATTGAATGAGGGAAAGCATAATGTTTTTCAATGGATAATTCTGGGTCCAGCTGTTGTCTTCTGTTTGAATCGTCATGTATTATGTTAACTGGAATATCATATCTAGCCCACACAAGGAACCACGGCACACGAGCTACTTGCTCACATTGTGCTAGAGTTCTAGAACCTTGCTTGCATGTATAGTTACAACCCATCAATCGAATTATAGTTTTGAATTATTGTATGTATGCTATCAATGATTGATACCTACTTATTTTGGGTAGGATGTATTCTCATTCTTTTCAAACCAGGATCATTGATCAGTTCGTCGATATTTATCTCTTCGGTTTCCTCCTGCTGCACCTTATCTTGGATGTATGAAGGAGATAATTTCACTTTATGAATCCCAACTGTTAGATCTCCAGACGAGGGAATTTTGGTACCTGATGATGATTGAGTGGCACACAATGAGAATTTATCAAGTGTATATTTTCACCAGTGCATCAGTATTTCACCTACGTTAGTCAGCTGAGATCGATCCAGCCTCATCACTCTGGTCAACTGAGTATTATTTTAAGCTCTTTGCATGAATATAGTGGAGCGACATCTTTCAGTGATTGCCCTAGCAATACGATAAAATCGGTATGGAAATGGTTTGACTAGATGTTGATTTTATATGGTCATTTCTGGCTTCAACAGTCCATCTGGATTTGATGACTGATCTCAACTCATTCACAACCTCGGTTGGTTAACTTCGTCCTCTTTGTAGGAATGCTGACAGTTTATAGTTCATACCTAAATTCTCAAGTTATTGTACAGCGTCTCTGTAGCCGCAATCTACAATAAAAATGTCACCATCCTGAAACCATTGGCGCATATTCTCATCATTCCTTTCAAATTCGTTCCTTAGAATGGCTGCATTATTATTCCTGAAATCTGAGAAAATGGGACCATGGATTTTCAATATGTAACCATCTGGTGCTACAATCATATGTGGTTTCACCAATTGACTACCTTTACGCCTCTGAATGAGATCGTATGAAATAAAATTTAAGAAACAACAGAGGATGCGAATAAGTCAAGATTTTCCAAAACTAGATGGGTTGTTGAAGCCAGCAATGGCCATATAAAATTCATTTTTCAAAATATTTAGTTGAACAATCTTGGGGGGTTGTATTGTATTGCTGGGGAATCATGAACATATATCACCCCACCATATCTATGCAAAGTCGAAAAACTCCGTAAGTCAGGATTCCAGGGAGGTGCTGGATTGATCTCGGCTGCCTGACGTAGTTCAAACACGGGTGGAAATAGACAATCTTCACTTTAGAAATGCTCGTTGGGTACCTACCACTCAATCATCATCAGGTACCGAACTTCCCTCGTCTCTCCTTAGACAATCTCGGAGATCTAACTATAGGGGTTTATCATGTGAAATTATCCCCTTCATATATCCAAGAAAAGGTGCAGCGAGAAGGAGCCGAAGAAATACATATTGACGAACTAATTGATGATCCTGGTTTGATAAGAATGAGGATACCAGGTTGGAATTATTCAATTTATGATCATTACTGCACATGCAAGCAAGGTTATAGGACTCTGGGATCATGTGTGCATGTAGCTAGTGTGCTGTGGTTCCTTGGGTATGCTAGATATGAGGCTACCATCAGATATCCCAGTTTTCAACCCCTCGAAAAAGTACACGACGCTTCTAACAGATGGCAACAGCGTAGCCCGAATGATGCAATGGATATATTGGCAGACTAGACATAGTTTACTATGAATGATATGGTGATGATTCATTGAAACATATTTTCCCTCTCGAATTGAACGTCACATATTAACCAGGTATACCTAGTACCATTTGACATTAGCAGAAATATGGTACTTCTAGTTCCTTCTAGCTCCATAACATTTTTGCCAAACGGCGTTCTTCCAACATTTTCATTTTGCGAGATATTCGCATCGATAGGTTTCAAATTGACATTCTGTATTTACGCAGTCACTCATACACCTAATAACGAAAATCATAAGAAAATCATTGAATCATTTTATGTCAAGATGAATTTCCATTTAAGATAGATCTATTCCTCGTGAAGAAAATCCCATGTATTTTTTTGCATATGGCGAACAGAGTAATGACGTATGTTCGTAAAACTTCTTGTTGTATTTCGTCGGAAAGATTCAGAGAATGACATCAGAGGACATATTCAGGACCATGCCATGATTGAATAATTTAAAATAGTATATTGGTAATTTCTGTTACTCGGATCAATCTGTATCAATGATTATAATTATCTTTTAATTTTGATCGATCGTCATTGATAAACTCAATGAATTAGCTGTCTCGTAGGCGAAGGCATTCGCATCATCTGAAAATCAGTTTATTGTTGACCACCCTTCAAAAAGGCTACTGCAAGTTGAAACATACCTTTCTTTAACGAATCTCGGTAGGGTGAATGTATATTACGATTTTCATATTCTCCATTCAAGTTCGACGTCTGGAAAACACACAAAACTCAGGATGTATCACCCTCTGGCGCCCTCCAGCCTTTTTCACCCTAAGACATTTTCCCGTAAGATGTGTGCGTGGTCCTTTGAATCAAGAAGTTAAATTCGATGGCATTAACTCTCTCAATATCAATAACATTTTAAGTTTAATACAAAAAATTCTACATTTTGTCGTTATGAGTTCATATGATGACAAAAGGATACCAATAGAAAAGTTCACCTAGCTCTGAGAGGAAAAAATATGCCTTCAACAAGAACAGAAGGAAAGACAAATTCCTTCTCTCTCAAGTCTCAACACTAGCTGATGGGGCTGTATTCCGAATTCAACTACCAACTGTGTCAGTGATTTCACTGACTGCAGAAATTCGGAACAAATTCTGTAGCAATGCAGTAGTGAGTTGTCATTTGTTAGTTATATTCCCCTTTTTTCTTTAATTATGTTCGGAAGAATAAAATGAATAGAAAATAAGATAATTCATGCATGGACCAGCAACTAATTATATCAGAAGAGTTTCCATATTTGTTGATAAATCCAGCCAAGCAACTTAGAGATCTTTCGAACATAATGTTTATCTGTCTTGATTTGAATAATTATGAGCCAATCAGGATAAAAAATCTAAGCCGAAATTATTAAGAGAATATAGTATGTTTTCTCTCGAGATATGCCACTTTCAGTTAATCGTATTGATTTCAAGATGAAAAATCAGCAGGTTCAGTACCTAGTTGAAATCGGAATCTAACCTGTACTACTGTTGGGCCTGTACCTAACCTAACCTAATATGAATCTTTACGATACTTGTATCGAAAATATCTATTACATTACCACGTGAATTTGATTCCTTGAAAATAGCGAGCACCGAGATGGTCTTTACAGCTTTACACACCTGTTCTTTCAAAATGTTGCGTTTCTATTGTAGGTACATTTTTCGCTATGGACCATTTTAAAACATTCTCGAGTCTCAGATCCCGTGTATTCTGTTCCTGATATCCATCTTGTTGTTCTTCTGTACTAGTACTGTCCTTCAGGGAATAATTCTGGTTGCACATTTCTGTAAGAAAAATAATATTACTAGCTGAGAAATCATATTGGCATTAATGATGAATGCTTCATGAAATTGTATTATTCCTTGAAGTCCTTCCAAGCACTATTTCGTCAATTAATTCCTAACAATGAATAATTCATAATTAGTAGGTATATTCATTAACCTACAGACAGTATTTAGTAGGTATATTACATATCAAGTGTTATAATAAGCATATTACGCATGAATGCTTAGCGGCAAGTTTGTAATTCCATGAGTGCGTAGGTAATTGGTCTACACACGCAGTACGTACTATACTTTACCTATATTCGAATTATTTCTCGCTTCGAACCTTTGGTATGCTTTTACATTTTAAAATAGGTACAACCAGAAAAGTATATGGACCAATGCTATCCGTTATACAATAACTAAGAGATGAGCTTTGTGGACAGGAAAGGTGCTTTGACTATTACGAACGTGTATCGTCACAGTAGTGGCAACAATGAAAATGTATGCACACAAACGCCATGAAATAGTAGAAGGTAAGTGAAACTCAGTCTTGCTACGTTCTCCTCTTTCCGAATTGTCATTATTCTCAGATTTAAAACGTCACTTCTGAAAATTGAATAGGCGTCCCGCGGAATTTTTTTCGAATATGTCTTGTTCGGTAATGGATTGTAGAGGTTCTGAGAATAACGATTACCATTAATAGGGAGTTAAAGCAATGCAGAATGCGTAAACGTGAACGTAGAATTTGACATCTAAGCATGCGCAGTATGCGAATTTCCTACGCCAGGAGATACGTCTGACGTATGTTTACGTCTTGCTACGCTAGCGCTGAACGCAAATCGTATTGAACCGAAGATGTTACCTATCTAAGCGAATACAAACGATAAATATTCGGTGTTTACTTTAATCTCACTTTTATCACATGAAATCACATTTGTTTTTTATTGCGCTTTGTTCTTGTGTTGTGTTTCGAAGAAATCATGGACAATTCAAATAAAAGAATTCTCTTTTCCTTGAAAGATGATTAGCATCTCGCAAGGGAAGTTGTAGGCCATAATCCCTACGAAGACACGGGCCGTTGGAACCTTATCCAAATGATTATAATGTAAATTACTGAAAAACTTATAGCTTCCTGGTATTGCTAAAGCTCTAGCTAATCTTTTAATGTAATTTTTCGCAAATCGAAATAGATTTTCACATTCTATTTCAAATAAATTGTTTAAATTGATATATCTATATAATTTCCTTCGATTACCTAAATTGTCGTTCTGATTCAGTACATGAAGGATGAACATATCATCTAGGTCATCGTCACTACTAGCATCGCTATCATTTGTAGCTTCGAATATCAAAATCTCTTCCATTTTGCAACAGGATTTGCAGCAACAACACTGAAACGATATCCAAGCAAGCGAAGACTAACAAATCAAAACATACGAATGAAAAAAAGGGTTAAAATGAGTCTGGTCTTGTATCTTGTATGTACCTACGTAAAACATGTACGTACCATACGGTAGCTTTAACGCTACTTTTCATTGAATACGTACGTATTTCTATTCACGTTTACGTCCATACGTAATTGAAAGTTTTTGTATTGGCTTTAACTCCCTAATATTTGAGTTACCCAAAGACATTTCAAGTGTTTGTCAAAGCTTCAAATTACAATATTCATTTCATGGAAATAGGTTCATTTAATGATGTTCTATTGATATAACTACAAAATGAGCTTTATGTGCCTTTGGTGTTACGTGACTATTAGGGTTTCAAATAATGATATGTCTGCACTCGTTCAATGAAGGGGTACAGAAAAATTAGATTCCATCTCTTATAAGCCATATTTGTGTCTCATGTTTTTTGTTCAGCTGTTTAATAACATGACAAGTGTATCCACACTCTTGAAAGGACGTGAAATGGGATGTGCGAGGCACTCTAATTGATGAATAATAATTAAATATCAATGTGCTAATAAAGTAAATGTTTTATTGCTTATCTACCACAGTACAAATGGCGAAGAGGAAAAAAAACTAAACAAAAAGCAGGTCAAATCAAATCATGGTAGCCTTTGAGAAAGGTGGATAATATTACGCTGAGAGTATGTACCTTCAAAAATTGCTTCGGTTCTCCTTGTCAAAGGTATTATAACAGTTTGTTCCCTCATTGTTGTTGTGGGTTCATAAACATGATGTCCAAATTGTGCCATGGTACTTGTTCCATCAGGACCTGTTTGTTCCATTATTCCTATTTGTGTAGTTCTTACATGATAAGGAAAATTTTTGTTGGCAACTGAAGGCATTGTGAGAATCTATAAATGATTATTCATTAAGTTTTGTATTGACTCAGTCCTTACTTGATAGAAATCCATAGTAAATGGAAAAAAACTTCACAAATGATAAAAATTCCACAAAATTCTTAACAACACGACATGTTTCGCTAACAAACACGCAGTAGCTACTGTATATCCTCCTTTCTGAACCTAAATGATCAAAATCACCTGTGGAAAGGTTAGCAAAGCCTTCATTTTCGGAAAGTACGCACAATAATCTACTTTAAAATTCAGTGTATTTACCGGATTAACTAATTATAATTGAAAGGAATGATAGCAAATATTACCTACCAAAGAAAACAAATTTAAAAGCAGTGAATTATTAAGGTCTAGTTGATCCTTAAGTAAAATGATTGAATTTTTGTTTTTTTCTACATGCAGTCATGATTCAACAACAGAATTTCCGAGCAATTAATCTCGAAAACAGTGAATGCTATCGAAACTGAACATGTTTTCAATATTTCTTTTCTTCAAACATTTGTCCAAACAAAGTGTCACTGGCAAGCTATAGGATTTTTCATTTAGGCTCCCTGATAGAAAGATTAAACGCAGTGTCATTTTGGGGAAAATCGTCTGATTTGTCCTACTACACATATATTTAAATAATACTCATGCAGGGTGATGTGATAATTATGTTCTTATACGATTCTCATTTGTTTTCATTCTAAATTTGAAAGATGTATGGAATTTCATAAGACTCGGCGATTGTTTGTTCGTATAAGAACATATAGGTTTTCAAAATTATTTTTACGTGTACAATACACACCTGGAGTTTGGAGCGTTCCTCCCGACTCACCCTGTATTTTTATTTTATAGAAACGAGGAGTGAAAATCCCAAATAATCAAGTGAAATTGACTATCATTTTTGAGTAAAAATGTTGAGATTTACATATTCTTTGGTCAAACTGCCGAAAATTGCGTGTACAAAAAAGTGGGGGAGAAAAGTGCCCCTAGTGTGCCCTAGCCCCACCTATTTTCCACGCCCTGATCAAAATTTCGGATAATTTTCAATATTTTCAAATTGGGCATGAAGAGTTAGGTAGGTAGGTGCATGTACAAAATGTTATTATTTCATCACAGATTGTTTCGAAAATTATTACGAAAAATAACTTGGACTCGCCTTTTTAGGGCCATCTATAGATAACCCCCTTAGGAGCCATTTCTGGACCCATGTTTATATAAACTTTTTTATTATATTCGTTCCTAGAATCTGTGGTTCAAACTCTTTCTATGTAATTTCGGGTAACCCTGTTTAGTTGAAAATACATTTTTCCACTGGCTCTTTGGCCTCTAAGAATATTCACGAGTACAAAATATTGCTTACCAAAAACATGAGATGTCCTCCAAATGATATTAACAAAAGTACAGCACAGACAACTGATTCTCGCACCCATTTATCTATATATGAATTAGCTGAAAGAATGAACGCTGGTCCTGCAATGAACCATATTGTACCAAAAATAGTAAACGGGTAGTAAAAGTTCCCCTGAAAAAATAAAAATGTATCATGAAGAAAATATTATAAGGTAGGTACCAACCTTTTCTGGATAATACTTCAAGGTGAAAATTGTGGAATAAATAAACATACACCAAGCTAAAACTCTCAAAATAATCAAACCATACCCTGCTGGTGATTCGTAAAGATATAAAACTTCCCCAGGGTCGAAAACCTGAAAATTAGGATGAAACTATAACATTGGAGGAAATACCAGTATAGACTCATCTTAGACCTACCCCAACTACCCCAATAAAACTCGAGGTTTTATTTTCCTCATCACCCTATACGTATAGGCTTTACCAACCCCAAGTACACCAATAAAATCATTTATTTACAACCATATATAAAATGTTGTCATTACTAACGTCATTGAAGGTTGGGAAGTGTTGGGGAAGTGTCACATTACATACCTCTACTTCCCGCCCTCACTTGTGTAATATTTTAGGTATGTTCAGAACGAAACAGAGATTCATTAATTTTGATCGAAATATGATGGTTGTAAGTAAAATAGTATACAAACCTCGGTAGGAAGTTTCATTCCTGTCTCGAGATCATAGCTAACCTCGATGCTTTGCGTCTCGGCTAACTCATCTCACGACGAGAATAAATCTTTTCCCATCTCGGTGTATGATATCCTACTAAGCAACTGCGAATGCAGTGGTGATAAAGACTGAGCAAGGCAGTAAACAGACCAATAATACTTAGTTATCACTATCTATAAGTTTAAAAACAACTAATTTGGGAATGAAAAGAAGACTACGCAATAGGTAGTACCTTTTACTAACTTCCAAACACATCACCACTATTCATCATGTCATCAATTTTCGCTACCTGTGCAAAATATCTACTTGTGTATTCAGACACAGTTAGAGCTCTAATCTTCTCCTGAAGATGATAACATAGTTGGCGAAACACGTGTCGAGACGTTTGAAAAATCGGTTTGGATAGTGGTGAAACCGTGTAGTGGATTATCGTGCCAAAGGTTCGAATCTTCGATATATAGAGCGCAAAGTGAGAAGTAGGCAAGAAAACAATGCGTGAATTCAATTTAAATGCTGTGCATATAACTGAAATACAGGATGTTTCAGATTTAAATGTACATACGATAACTGCAGGTAGAGAGGACAGTTTGATAGTTCCAAATCACTCATTGATGTGTCTACTATCTTTTATAACTGAGATACATGACGTTTTCTTGATTTGGCAAAATAATCATCTGGTCATGAATTTTGAACCCCTTTGGATAATCTATTTATACTTGGTGGAAATATCAAGATCAGAATCCAGGTCCGTCTAAAGGAAAAACAGGAAACTTATTCTATTTAAAAAAAACACTCTGTATATGGCACAATTTTATAGATCTGGTTTTATATTTGAAAGGAGCGGGAAAAAAAAATAAAGTGACCTACTTTTCACAAGCGCACATCCAATTTTACATGTTTTATCACTATTTTTCGAAATATTCTGCTTCATTGTGAGGCATTTTTATTGAACTCGTAATTCAAAATCCAATTTTAATACAAAAAGTAACATTTTTCAAAGTTCAACAGCAATACAGTCAAATTAGTTGACAATCGATAGAATTCTTCGTTATAAATTTTCAATGATTTTAGAAATTTTAGAGGAATAATTTTATTCTTCACTATTTATTCATAAGCTCTCATTGTTATTTTTTTCTTAGAATTGTATTTTGATTTATGAGTTCAATAAAAATGCCTTGAAATGGAGCAGAATATTTAAAAAAAAAAATCAGTCAAATTGGATCCGCGCTCCTGAAAAGTAGGTCGGTATATTCGTTTTGTTTTTCGCTATTTTCTAATATCAAAAGACATTATGAAATTTTGCCATACACAGTGATGTTTTTGAAATAAAAGAAGTTTTCTGTTTTTCCTCAAGACGGACCTGGATTCTGATTTCGATTTTCATTCAGTTTTGATGGGTAATATTAGTGGAATATTTTTACCAAGTATAAATGGATTATACTAAGTGGTTCAAAAATTATGACTAGATGAATATTTTGCCAAAATCAAGATAACGTCCTGTATCTTAGTTATTGAAGATGGAAGACACATCCATTGGGGGTGATCTGTAACCATCAAAGAGTCCTCTATCTACAGGTATCGTATGTACATTTAAATCTGAAACACTCTGCATAGTAGTAACAAACCATGAATGTATCATTTTTCATGAAATATGCTGTAATAGGTACTTCAAAAAATACCATTTGAATATACTACAAGTTTATGTAACGTTCGAACATATCGTTCGGCGGCGAACTAGTCTGTCCAGTACTGACGTCGTAATTCCCTTTTCTTCGTTGCCAACTGTTTCATTTTGAGGAAATATCAAGTGAATATTTCTCAATTTTCGAATCGATCTAGCTGTGAACTGTCGAGATGATTTGATATTATCCGTGTTGATGTAGTAAATGTCACCTATAAACGTTTTACCCCCATTGCTAATTCTACACGTTTATAGTTGACTCGATAACTAATCGAGTTGGCTAGTACATTCGTAGGTTCGATCAGCAGCGCCAAAATTCGATCTTATTCTGAATTATACGTTTATACCGAGGTTCATACAATCTAACTGAACTATTTTGGCATACTTATTGCAATTTAAATGAACCTTAAATTCTGATGACATCACTTCAATATGTGTATGTGTCATAATATATGTCACAATGTGTGGTCACAATCCAGTTTATTAGAAAATAAAATCAAGTGATTTTGTACTGTCTACTGTCTTGCCCAGTCCTTCCATAACATTGTTGAAATCAGTAAATGTTCAGCTCTAGGTATGGATGTTTAAATATCCAATCAAGCTCAAGAATCGGTTGAGACGGCAACGCTGTTCATCTCACTGAATAGTGTATCATCGGTTTTTCTCGACCACCAAAAGATGGTAGCACTTGTGAAGTCAGTACCGCTGACGATTTCCCGTGGTGTTCTAATGGGAACATTTCTTTGGGAATTCATGAGAAATATAGAAAGTAGGTACACCAGACTCAGAAAATTTCTCAGTGGCTTTTCTCATCGTGATGAACGTCCTAGTATTTCATCTAGAAATTAGGTGTTCTTGTCTTTTGCCGTCCTACAAGAAGAGTTTCCGCTCGACGTGAAATGGAGCAATTAACTAATCTTTGGAAAGCGGCAATTAGGAATCACCTCGTACACAATGACAAATATTCGTGACATGTTAGATCGAAATCCTTCGAAGATACTACCTCATTCAGGAATAAAAGTTATTTCTGAATGAGATATTGACAACTCGAAATTCATACCTTTATCATCTGACATTAAACAATTGGAATCGAACAAATCACAAATACTTTTAATCGCATTACAAGGTGATTCCTAACATCAATATCACTATGTTCGAAATGCACACAAGACTTCTCTCTATAAACGATGTCCTCAACAAAATATACTGGCCCACCCGGAAAGAGAATCCTGATGGAAGTTTCAGGACAGCAGGATAGCCATATAGAAAATGCGTCACGAAGACAGATGCTTTATTGGCTTTGAACAGGAAGGAGCTGAAACTGGTGGTGGATCTTCTGACAGCGCACCATCTCAGCACGATCGGGATATAGATGTATTCGGAATTTCGGAGGATCCTGAATGCAGATGGTTTTCAGAAGATGAAGATACTTCTATTCGCATCCTCACTGAATGGTCGGCAGTAAAGGCAGCAAGGGATATCCATTTTAATAATATCTTTTAATGATATCTTTTGCTCTCAAAATCGGCATTTTCCGTGGCTGACTTCCGATCCCAGGAATATGGGTGCATAATATGGGCCCGACCGCCCACATGTATAGGTGAAAAGAGTGTGCCTTACTGGCCAAATGAGCCGGGATTGGCGCAGTGGAAGAGCGTCCGTCTCACGACCGCGAGTTTGTGGGTTCGATTCCCGGTACGAGCAAGGAACATTTTTCAATATTTTATTTACGAATTAAATATTGTAAAGTTTCGGAGCATCAGCTGGGGAAAGTCCTGGACGATTCGCTGTTGCGTTCCAATTAACAATGCTGCTCTTAAAGTGGCGCATGAAGTTAGTAACAAAGCCTACACAGAATGCGCAGAAAGAGATGATGATGTGGTTGTGAGCATCAGAGAAGAAGTAGGACGGTGTATGTGGGTGGGTGTGGAAAACTATCAGCTGAGCGTGAGAGCGAGCCAATGCTGCTTAGTGGACCTTGGTCTCTAACGGGGGTTAACGAGAATAGCTAGCAGGCCTGCCACTGCAGCATATGGTAATGAGTACATAACTAGCCTACAAAACGCAGCCGAAAAAACTCTGAAAGAGAGCTGATGGGCGGTGCCTGAAAAGGATGTTAGCCAGCTCTCTTAGGCGAACCACATCACTCATTAAAAACACCTTGGTTCCATTAGGGACTAGTTGCTGACGTGCAAACAGTACCAGTAGTAGTACTGGCCAAATACTGTTATTTTGTCATATTCGACCGAAAACCAGAAATTAGGTGATCATTAGACTTTCAGTTAAACGAATTTTGAATTTGAGGTCAATAAACGTATTTCAATCTTGGTGGTTTATGTTGACCTACCGCGGCCCTAATAACATGGGAAAACCATAATCGAGGTGAGGGGTCAAACACGCCACTATCGCTTCAACAAGAATCAAGCCATGATTTGAACTGATGCTACCAGAAAAATATCACTTTCCATGGCAGACAAGTGGCCAAAAACCCAACATCGGAGACCGACATTAGATGTTTGGTTTGTGCAAAGTATTTGTGTTTGGAGTGTTTTTTTCAGTCATTCCTGATAATGCTTTGGTTCTAATGAAATATAACATCAAATAAATACAATATTATCTTTCCTGGGCCGCCGTGGTTCATATGAGCCCACGAAATCAAAGGCCAACCCTCATTTTGCTAAAATAGTTAGTAACATATATTGCCATGCATTTCATATGGCAGTGGTGGGTCTACAAAGAAATTATACCGTCTGTTCTGCCCACCACAGCCTCTGGGGAATATTTTCTGTTAAGGTTCTGATGGATCGCTTTTAGACCAACCCTGGCATTCTACGTGTTAAAAGAACTTAGGCCGGTTGATAGACCGTTAAATACCTAATCTGTTTTTATCCATAGCAACGTACGCCTTAGCTGATGAGTCAAGAGAGTTGATGCCTCGTTGAGTCAACTGAGAGGTTTATGCAACCGGCTATCAGTATTTAAATGAGGTAGAGGAAAGACCTCAACATTTCTGTATCCATACCTCCTGCATTTTTTGAGAATCGTGCTATGAAAAAAGTTACCTTGGCTTCATAAACGAAGAGTGATAAGTAGATAACAGCATACACACACATGAAAATGGTTAATTTTATACTAGCTGGTAATGGCAGACGTCCTCTTGTTATAGTAAAACCTTTTGCTAGAAGTAGAAGGAGCAGAACAAAACTAGTTTCCGATATACTCATGAGTATCATGCCTGAAAAAATAGAACAATGTAGTAGGTATCTCTATTGTAAACAGTTGGAAGAAGCATACCAAATCTCTTGATCTTTGTTTCCAACAGACCCGTTACAGCTAATTTCAAATAACAACTGCATACAAAAAGTATCGCAAACAGTTGCACGATTGATGAAAACACGAATATTTTATAAGTTGTGTGCAGCAGTTGCCTTGATTTCAGTTCAATTGAGCATACTACAATGCCCAACATGAGAAATGAGTAGGCAATTGCGAATGCCATGAGTACTGGCAGGATATCTGAAAAAAAATTATTATTACAGTTGATTTGAAAATGTTTAAAAATTCAGTTTGGGTTTTTTATATTTGAGTTATGCAAGAACTGAGAAATAATTAGGTACGTAACTATTTTTCACTTGGTGTCGTAACAAATGATAATTAGGCTGCTAAAAGGTTAGAGGATAAAAATTATGAGTGTGTGTGGAACATCACATTAATTCTCAGTCTAGATTTCTTTTATATCCACTTCGGATTAATATGTCGTTTTTGCTGCCTTCTTAATCTCAAAAATCAAAAATTCGCGTGGTGTTGGATGTAGATTGAGGGCAGGTCATATCCAGTATAGAACAAACATAATACCATATGTCTAATACCATATGTCCGTCATGTTGCATCTTCAAGTTCTGAGGAAATGTGCATTGATTGGCCATACGCAATATTCCCCCTTTTTTTAAGCGAGAAATATTTTCAAAAGCTGGAATAATGAGCTATTCTATTTGTCATAGATTTTTCTGTGGACGTCATATAGATTTTTCTGTCTCATAGGTCCTCACTTTTCCTGAGCAGAATATTTGGCCCTAGGTCTGCAAAACGATCTCCTTGAGAGACAAATTTCGTTCTGGTGACAAAAAGAGGCTAAAAAAATTTAAAAGTTGTATCTTCTACGGATGTCTAGAAAATTTGAGCGCTTTAGACCACTCAGATACCATGTCCTTAAGGTGCCCCTCCATCAGATGGCCTGTTCAAAAGGATAAATTCATAGACCGCTGGTAAAATATTTCACGATAATGTCGCGAAATATCAATATAATCAAGTTGAATTATTGGGAAATAAGTGTTGTTTTTTAATCTGTAACTGGTCGCCCCTCTCCCTAATTAATCAATTTTTGGTTGGGAGCAATGTTGGAAATCTTATTGAAGAAGCTTCACAATGTGTTGGAATGATCACATCTCGTTAAATTAACCGGCGCCAGCCTATTGTCATACGTCTAGGTCGCCCCCGAAGTGCGGCATACGGACCGGAAGTTACCTTTAACCGACATTTCTCTCAGAGTATTCAAGAAGGTATGCCCTTTGGTTTAAACCTTCATTATTTTGACGCATCAATAAATGTTATGACATTTGCATACGATTTGAGTAGGCGAATTTAGCAGTATTCGAAGGTTGATCGCTTGACGTGCGAAATTATATAATTGGCATTCCATCAGACGATAGATCAAGCATAGATGAAACAAAACAAGATGGCGTTTGCATAAAAATTTATTGTGAGCATACGTTTGATTTTTCTGTAGTGAGTTATATTTTTTCGTTGGTTTTCGTTGTCGCCAAGCCCGAATATGGTACTGACTATAAATACCTAGTTCAAAGGGCCTTGATTACTTCCTTTTTTGTGTGAATAAGTTGTCTTCGCCGAGACAAAAATAACTGTTTTGCCAGTACCTCAAGGGACCGGTCTATATATTATGTTCTAAAAAAGGAAGGAGAGTGGTTCTGAGGGCCCCTTTTTGAGCAATAAAATTAAATTAATTGACCTGCTGACATCTTTCACAGTGTAACCTATTACAGACTTCCAGTGAGTTTTATTTTCTCATGCATCCCTCGAGAAAAACTAGAAAATTACAACTTCCAAAATTAACGGAAAAATAGGGGGAATTTTTGAGAGAATATGGCTGCCAGAGATATTGCATTTTTTCGGTTTTCCCTTTGTAACTCGCTCCCTGTAGGTCGTACAACCCTGTGAGAGCTCGAAATATTGACAATGACATAATCTCTAACTTCAGTTGTCACTAAAATGTTGTCCCATTCAACCCTTTTCGAGTTATTCAAGGGCAAGGACATCCCTAGTGTCATGGAACAACGGTTTATACACGTCATAGTAGTGAACCTCTAGTGAATCTCAATTCTCTTAAACCGCTATCGATATCTTCAGGCAGCCCGAAGATTAACTCTCCCCCTCCTCCTCCGAAGGCGAAGACATGTCGCTACAGTAAAATGACGAAAACATTAGGTCCATCTTCACAAAGGGTGTTGAGCTCCAAGTCAGACTCCTCGTCACTGTTTTACATAAGATTATGATGTTTTCTTTATTACAATTCTATTTATTGTTAATATAAACATTTTTTATTTGTATTTACATATATATTCATGATCAACTTGAAAATTGTTATTTGTGTTGTTCGTTTTCCTACCCACATAATGATTTCAATATCATGTGTTATGCTATATATAGAACGATTTATTTGCTACATATTTAATTTATATACTTACAAAACTCATCAGCTGAAAAGTGTTCATGCCAATAATCTCCTGGTGCACCATTCGTCATTAAAATTCTGTATTTGAGGTGGATACCCTGAAAAATTATATATGTTGGGTGGAGTGGGGTAACTGCGACTAGCAATAACAGCAAAAATATTCTATAAATTTCATCAATTATAATTCTTATACAAATTTCAAACTTCGTGAAAAGGTACCTGCAAGTGGCTACTTTTAGATTTTACTACGCATCTAGCAAGAGAAAAATATCGTAATATAGTTCATTAAAACCTAATATAATACTTTTTCGACTTGACTTGTCTCGAATTTGGGGGTGCAACCTCTGGTCCATATTTCTCATAATTATCCCAAAGAACTTAATGGTCTGAGATCAATCAATCAACTTTATAATTCCCAAGAAACAACATTTGTTTATAGCAGGGAACATGGTGAATACACATAAATATATTTGACAAAATAAAAAAATAAGACTCACACTCGAGAAGGATCTTTTTTTTAATTCAACTGTGTGTGAGAAAAATCCCAGAAGTTTCCAAATTATTATATTATTTCATTATTCCAATTTTTTTTTGGGATTTTCTCCCGTTTCTATAAAATAAAAATATGAATATTATTTCAATATACGTGTAGTGAATTTTTCTTTTAGGCTCTCTGATAGGAAAGTTCTTTGAACGCAGTGACATTTTGGGGCAAATCATCTGATTTGTCCTTACTACACGTATATTGAAATAAAATATTCATATTTTTATTTTATAGAAACGAGGAGAGAAAATCCCAAAAAGATTGAATAAGATGAACATCTTCAAATGTGCAAAACAAATTTGAAAATAAACTCAACCATTATCTGGGGGTCAATGAAGGTAATTTTGATCATTTGTGGTGGACATCCAACACACATTTGAACTCGCATTTCTCAAGAATAACGCCTTGTTGGGATCCAAAATCCTTTGCCCTGCTAGTGTCATAATCAAATAACCTTTGCAATGATGTATAACATGACCCTCATTTCCTATTAAAATATTTGAGGGGATTGCTCTGGGGAGTGGAGTGTTGAAGTATGTATTATCTTTTTTGCGTCAAGCGGTGTCTGCCTCAAAATAAAAATCGACGTGTTTCGCTATTTTTTGTAAAATCATTTTCCTGTGGGTTATCTATAAGGTGGATAGTCTTGAATAGACCACCCGGTACCGGAACCGCTACCTTGAGAGATTACATGGACTTGCAGAAACTTTCGAGATCAATAACTTCGTAACGAAGTGCGATAGACATTTTTTTATATAGACAGACTACTAACATTATTCTGGCACACTATAGAGATAGATAGATATTTATTATTTCCATACTAATAACATATTGATCATCAGATAAAATAGTATTATACTAAGTAGAAATGCATATTATAATCACAAAACTACACAAATAGTAGTGTCTATCACCTTTGAGTATTCACATTATCACATAAGTTCGTGTATGTTTTCAAAATGCGATTTTCTCTAGAACGGTACAATATATCGATTAAAATAATTTATACCATTTTTGTAAAAAAAGATGATCGAATCAAACGATGGAAGCAAAAAGTAAAATTTGTCACCTCTGTCAAAAATTCCTCCATTTGACGGAAAAAATTCGTCTCATCATACCGTGGCAACCGTCTAAAGTTATGCATGAAATATTTTTTTACTCAAACTTTCAAGGTCAATATAGCTCCGTAACGAAGTGCGATAGACATTTTTTTTTAATCTGAATTACTAACATTATTTTGCTTCTCTATATCAGCGATATCATTCATGACCTGACCTTTCCAGGCACCCTGTATATTCTTAGTTGAAAGAAAATGCAAATTCGCAAATTCAGAAGATTCTCATTCTCAAAGTCTCATATTGTGTGTGTTCAATAGATGTAATTCAATGTCGTGGAAAAGCCAGGAAAGTAAAATTGAAACGTAAATAAAAGAATGAAAATTTTCACCAGATAGAGAATGCGAATTCTCAATGCATTTCTTCATATATATGTTTCCTTTTTTTTTCATGTTCATAATACATCTGAGAATATTCCATTTCAATACAATTCATAACTTACCATGTCAATATAATAGTATATTATTCAACGAGCGCATAATGATGGCTATTACCCACGAAGATGAAAGTTGCAGTACGAGCCGAAGGCGAGTGCTGTAATCATCTGAGTGGGTAATAGTCATTATGCGCAAGTAGAATACTATACTTTATCTACAACTATTCAAATATCAAAGCAACTCTGAGAGTTCAGAAATATATCTTTGAAAAAAATGAAGGTTATTATATTGCAAAATCACTAAATCTGATTTTAAATACTCATTAATTCCATCGAAAATTTATTGACAAAGATTCCATTCAACGAACAGCTTGTAACTTATTTCAATAATTTTGATTGTGAAAATTTGATAAACAATGTTGGATATAACTTTTATTAGCAGGAAAAAAGTCGTGCAATCACATATCAGTCAATCTTACCAGGTATTATATGATATTTCACTTTTCAGTTGTAAAATGAATCATATACTATTGCAGATAATTCATTTTTTGCTTCCGCTGTAGCGTTCCCCTACCGCGATGATTGATTGTAGTACCCTGTCTCAAGAAGCTAGTTATCAACAATGAAATTCCATGGTTCTGATTGGTCTGTACTAATCTATTCCAATAGCCTGTAGCCATATTAGTGCATTAGTGTGTGCCTTAGATCATACAGGATCTAAGGTGTGAGCATGGACGTATAAACGTCCATGGGTGTGAGCAAATCTGCAAGTGTCAAGTCCTATTTTATGGTTATGGTTACTCATGATGGTTACTCATGATGATAGTCACTGTTGAGAATGGAAAACAGTGAATTCTTATTTTTCCGTGTATTTGTAGAATTAAGATGTTCAAAACTACGAGAACAATGGTACGGTGGATTTGCGAACTAATAGAACGAATACCTACCTAGTTGAATTTGACAAGACGATGGGATGTCAAATTATTACGCCACCCTACTGTCATTATTACTCTTATTACTCGATTCATCACAATAATGACTGCCATTAAATGTCGAAAATCGAGTAAGCAATGTATGAATGACTCCATAGTTGTAGATAAATTAATATTCGCCGTCTTTCGCCATCATTTCGTATTTTGAAACATTATCTCGACTACGATCTCGGTTAAAGTTGTAATGATGAAGATAATTTGGTACCTGCTCACCATATTGTTCCATATGTGACTTGGTACATTTTTTTAATCCATGAAAGCTTAGTCACCATTGTCAAAGATTATTTTATTTACAACCATATATGTAATGTTGTCATTACTTACGTCATTGAAGGTTGGGAAGTGTCACATTACACACCTCTACTTCCCGCCCTCACTTCCCGCTCCTCACTACTTCCCGCCCTCACTTCCCGCCCCTCACTTCCCGCCCTCACTCATGTAATAATTCAGGTATGTTCAGAACGAAACATAGATTTATTAATTTTGATCGAAATATAATGGTTGTGAATAAAATAGTATACAAACCTCGGTAGGAAGTTTCATTCCTGTCTCGAAATTATAGCTAACCTCGACGCTTTGCGTCTCGGTTAACTAACTAATCTCACGACAGGAATTAATCACTCCCCACCTCGGTGTGTAATATACTATTTATTCATACCTATTATTTCTCAACTTACCTTTGATCCATTACAATTGCTAACAGCTATGAACCACCATCGCTCTCTTGCTGTTCTGAATTGCCTGGCATTGTGACATTTTACTATTCGACCTCTGCGCACATATCTCTTATTATGGTTGATGTTGACCAGGGATCTCTTCTTTACTGAATGATTGCTTGAGAAGACCTATTAGGTACAACCATTATTTCAGAAATTGAACATCACACAACGTCACATTGTTGTGGAACAAACGTGTAATTCTGATCGTGTGTGTTCGAATGGATAATTTTAACGTTGCTGCCCACCGATAAGAAGCTGCTATACTTGAGTATAACCATCCGCATACTCATCGCTGTGGCTACGTTAACCTGTTAACATCTCCCTTGTCCAAGGGTGATTCAACAGAAAAATTACAGTAGCCTACATTGAAGTGCATGTTCGGAAAATAGTTATTTATACACCAAGGTAGTAAAGAATATCATTATTACCCAGGGGGGCCAAGATTATATCCCGAGGCTTCAGCCGAGGGATATAAGGTCCCGTGGTAATAATACCTAGTCTACACTACCAAGGTTTATATTAAATGTTTTTCACCACTATATTTTTCAATCATTTTAGTTCTATGAAACTGAAATATAGACCTATTGTCACTATCAAAGCACTTATTTTCAATTCTTAGCCATGACCATGACAGCATATAACAAGTCGTGATTAATAAATACCTACTAGATCCCAGTGCCATTTGTGCGAATAACAACAAATGTGGCTTCGTCTTTATAGACTAGTGGTTCATAAAATGACAAAAACTACCTTGGTAGTAAAAACACACTTTACGCCTCGAAACGGAGTAAATAATGGTATCGACTACGAAATAGGGAAGGCCAAACCAACGTGGCCTTCACGGAGGACCAACTGGCAGAGTTCCTAGACGCTGTGCTGACATTCATCATCAGCACGCCAATGAGCGCAAACTCGCCCCCAATACAATTCGCATCAACGCGACTGTGGAGGGGGCAACTTTTAGTCACCGCAGAGAATGCGGAGACGAGGGAATGGCTTCTCAGAGAACTGCCAAATATCAGACCCTGGGAAGGCATTAACCTCATAGCGGTCGATCCGGATAGATTCAGACTGCAAAGAACGGTCATCCGGATCCCGATAAGACCGCCGAACCAGGACATCTTCAATGCCCTGGAAAGGCAGAATCCAGGTCTCTCAACCCGTCAGTGGAGGGTCTGGAGCAGAAGAGAGGAGAAACGTGGGCTCAGCCTGGTGGTGGGGATGGACCCTGAGAGACCCAGCTGGGACGCCCCTTCGTCTTCGGCGACAGACCTCCCAGCTGAGGGTCCCAAAGACCAGCCGATGGAGACAGTCTCCGTCGACGAAGAGACACCCGCAGACGTCGACAGACAACCCCCTGCGGAGCCGTCTCATGCAGATGAGGAAACCCTCATCGAACTCGACGACGAGACTTTGACAGAGGACAACGTCAACAGTCCTCTGGCAGAGTCCGGTCAGGAAGGGGGCGCCTAGGACGCGAGTCCTGGTAGCCCTGGACAAGAAGAGGGGCAGGAAGACTAGGCTACCAAATGGCGGTCTCTTCTTCATGCTTCTCTGAGCTCCTGAGACTTCTGCAAGCCAATATACAGCACGGGAGGGCCTCTACAGCCCTTCTATGCAGAAGGCTCAGGGAGCTCGATATAAATATATGTCTTATCCAAGAGCCGTGGGCCTACGGGGGTAAGATAAGAGGTATGGGTCAAGCTGGAGGTTCACTCTACTATTGTCCCTCCGAAGCAAGACCCAGAGCATGTATTCATACAAAAGGTGTCGACGCCACTCCGCTGCCAGGCTTCCGTCACAGAGACCTGGTAGCGGTGAAGGTGAAGTTGGTCGACGAAACAGGGGGTAATACACGCGAAGTCATTGTAGGCTCCGCTTACTTCCCATATGGAGAGGAGAATCCTCCACAAAAGGTTATAACACTGATAGAGCACTGCGAGGAGCAAGGATTGCCCCTCCTGTTGGGTTGCGACGCCAACTCCCATCACACACTGTGGGGAAACCGCGACGTGAACCCAAGGGGTAGGGCGCTTCTCGAATTCCTGAGTTCCAGTAAACTGGAAATCCTCAACAGAGGATCAGTGCCCACCTACTTCACGCCTCTGGCACAAACAATTGTCGATCTCACACCATGTTCATCAGAACTAACAGGGCGCGTCAGCGGCTGGCATGTGTCAATGGAGGAAACCCTAGCGGACCACCGACACATACTATTTAAAATAGCAGGCAACAGCCATGCAGAGAGCTGCAGGTATAGGAATCCCAGAGCTACTTGATGGAACCTCTACGTGGAGGAACTGAAGGAGAGGCTTGGAATTATGCCTACACGTTACGGATCTGAGGGGGAAATTGAGACGTTTGCCGACTGTCTCAATTCTGCCATCCTTACATCATATGAAGCCAGCTGTCCCTTGAAAAAGATTGACAAGGCAGGCAAAACCCCATGGTGGAACTCACAAATAGAGGCTCACCGCAAGGAAGTCCGCAAACGTCTGAATAGGGCCACACGGACCAAACAACCAACACATTGGGAGGACTATAAGTCAGCACAAAGGGAATACAAAAAGTGTATCCGAGACGCACGGAGGGACACTTGGAGGAACTACTGCCAAGGTGTAAACACCTTACCAGAGGCAGCAAGACTCAACAAGGCCCTATCCAAAGATCCGGGAGCAAGATTGGAGGTGCAGACACTGCCCGGAGGCGGATTTACTGCCTCGGACGAAGAAACACTCCAATACATGCTCTCAGTCCACTTTCCGGGTAGCGACACTGCGACACCCGGACCACAGCCAACTCCACCTCTCTCCCTCTCTCTCACGAGAAAGGTCGACTACAAAGTGGCTGCTGGCATTGTTACTTACGATAAAGTGAAATGGGCCATTGAGTCCTTTTCACCTTTCAAATCTCCGGGAGAAGACGGGATATTTCCAGCCCTGCTACAAAAGGGCGAAGATATCCTGATCCCCCATTTACTGAAGATTTTTCGAAGCTGCCTCGCCTACGGATACGTTCCCAAAGCATGGAGGACAGCCAAGGTTATCTTCATTCCCAAGCCTGGAAAAAGTGATTACACCCAGGCTAAATCTTTTAGGGCCATCAGTCTTACGTCTTTTCTTCTCAAGACCACATAAAGACTGGTGGACAGATACATCAGAGAGGATATACTGACCTTATATCCACTCAGCAACCTTCAGCACGCCTACCAAACTGGTAGAAGCACGGAGACAGCTCTCCACCGTCTCGTCCACAGACTCGAGGGCGGGTTGGACCGTGGCAGTGCCACTCTAGGCATATTCATCTACATAGAAGGAGCATTCGACAACACGTCATTTGACTGCATATGTCAGGCAACAAGGGAAAGGGGCGTGGCTCCATCCATAATAGGGTGGATCCACGCCATGCTTTTCCAGAGATTAGCTAAAGCAACTCTCAAAAGTAGCTCTAGCGAGGTCACGCCAAAGAAGGGCTGCCCACAGGGGGGAGTTCTGTCGCCTCTGTTATGGTGCCTAGTAGTGGATGGTCTCCTATCAAAAATAAAAGATTTGGGGTACTACACTCAGGCCTACTCGGACGATATAGTCATCCTGGTAGATGACCAGGGGTCGGGCCTCGTGAGAGGTACGATACAAAGGGCACTTGACGGGGTGGATGTATGGTGCCGTTCAGTCGGGCTGAGCGTGAACCCTGAAAAAGCGGAACTAGTTCTCTTCACTAGGAGACGCATAAAAGGGAACCTCCCAAACGTCCAACTTTCTGGCAGGTCTCTGCAATACAAAGGTTCAGTCAAGTACCTTGGGGTCATTTTAGACTCCAAGCTGAAATGGAACGAACATATCGAACATAAAGTTCAGAAAAGCATGGCCGCGTTCTGGGCATGCAGAAGAGCGTTTGGAAGCACGTGGGGGCTCAGTCCCAAGATTATCTACTGGATCTACACGACTCTCATACGTCCAATGATTACGTACGGAGCCATCGTATGGTGGCAAGGTACAGCATCCGGCAAATCAAAAACTCAACTAGACAGAGTGCAACGACTTGCCTGCCTTGCCATAACGAGTGCAATGAAGACGGCACCCACAAGGGCACTGGAGACACTTATAGGTCTGCCACCCCTGTACCTCTTCATTGAACACGAGGCATGCAAAGCCATCGCCCGTCTGCGGAGCTCCAACCAATGGAGGAGCGAGGGAACGTATGGACACTCTAGAAGTCTAGACTATGGAATCGGACGGTGAAGGAATGCCCCCTCCTAGAGATGCCGGGGGACAGTTTCACTCCTGTCATTAGATTCAGCCTCTGTCAATTATCCCGAAAAGAGAGGACTGGGAGCAGTTCGAGCACCGCCTGATCCCTACCACTGGAATCATTTGGTACACAGATGGCTCCAGGATGGAGGGATCGGCAGGAGCTGGGGTATATGGGCAATCTCCGAAAGCGGAACTCAGTTACGCCCTGGGGAACTTTGCTACAGTGTTTCAGGCAGAGGTTTTTGCCATTCTCGCCTGTGTTAGAGAAAATATCAACAGAGGCTACCATGGCCAGCTGATCACGATATGCTCTGACAGCCAGGCGGCGATCAAGGCCCTCACATCATACAGGGTCAGTTCGCTGTTGGTGTCGGAGTGTATTGATGAGCTTCAAAGGCTATCCGCAGCCAATAAGGTGAAACTCCTTTGGGTCCCAGGACACAAGGGAATTCCCGGTAATGAAAGGGCCGACTTCCTGGCTAGACAAGGAGCAAATAGCTCAGCCATTGGACCAGAACCAATCTTAGGAGTTTCCAGATCCTGGAGCGTCTCAACCATGATGAAAAGCTTGGAAACGAAATTCCAGGAGGTATGGAGAGAGACTCCAGGCATGAGACAATCGAAACTCCATATCGAAGGCCCTTCTATCAGAAGAACCAAAACGTTGCTCACATTGAGCAGAAAAGAAATAAGAATAGTGGTAGGGCTCCTCACGGGTCACTGCCATCTAAACAGGCACCTCAACATTATGGGTTTCACTGATGATGCTGAATGTAGGTGGTGCCTGGAGGACGAGGAGTCAGCTACTCACATCCTCACGGAATGCCCAGCAGTTGCAGCAATACGGGAAGCACATCTCGGGAACATCGTTTTGGAACCAGAGAGTGTGAGAAGGGTTTCGTTGAGAAGGCTGGTCTCTTTCGCCCGCGAAATTGGCTACCTTCATGACTGAACCAATTCCCAGCAAAGGTGGGTGCATAACGGGCCTGAATGCATGCTAAAGGATCCGTCCGCCCACATAGTGTAATCTATCTATCTATCTACGAAATAGCCACATTGCTCAAAGTGGAATGAAATGTTGAATAAATACAAAAAGTTCAAAGTCATATCCACACAATGTTCATAAAATGAACAACAGTGGTAGATTTCGGAAGAAAACAACTACTTTCCAGGCGAATGCCACGCAGAACGCATCCTCCCGAAATCTATGCATCGACTCGTATAAACGATCTGTCTGTAGGTGTCTAGCGTGGCTGGCTAAATCGAAATCAATAGGCATTCAGGAAAGAATCACTCGTATCAGTATTCGTTTATACGAGTCGATGCATAGATTTCGGGAGGATGTAATTCAATGTTCTGCGTGGCATTAGCCAGGAAAGTAGTTGTTTTTCTACCGAAATCTACCATTGTTGTTCATTTCATGGACATTGTGTGAATATGACTTTGAGCTTTTTGTATTCATTCAAATAATGGTATGTATTATAGCTAGTGGTGAAAGAAATAATTTGTTTCATTGAAGACTCACTTGTTTGTGCGTGGTTATTTCCATATATTCAGGAGTTGAAGAACGAACTGCTTCTTCAGTTGAAGAGTATGGCACAAAGTCATACGCACTATTTGATGTAGAAAAGAACGTTGTTTCTGACATGCTCATAGAATTTTCAGAATATGTTTCCTCAGTTGTTTCATGCTCACTGGAATGCGTTTGTTCGGTAACAACTGAGATTCTTTTCGATGATTGTGTCACTAGAAAATTTTATAGTACGATTATCAGATACTTCGATGAATCCATCAGATGACTAAAAATGCAGTAGATATAGTCTTTTCAAAGTCAGATGGAAAGAATGTCCACCACATGTGCAGCATCTTGAAAAGGCTAGGAAATACGAATTTGGCTGAATGGAAAGAAAGATACGCCTTCTGAAATTTTCGGAATTATCGATTGTTTTTCAATTATATCAGAAAAAATCAATTTTTGGAAGATCTGTTAAATTATTCACTAAGTTATTGTTGGAGGTACAGAAAAAGTGTGAATACAACCAATGTATTATACAAACTGCGGTTTGAATGCGTTTCGACCTAGTTTTATAATAACAACAAAGCAATCACAAATTTGAACTACCAAAAATCCGGGACACGTGTATATTAACTCAAATTTTCACGAGTAAGTATATAATTCAATCTGTAAGTGTTTCGTTTCCATTCGTCGACTGTGATTGGGTTCAGCGGCTGGCGTAAGCTGGCATAAGCGTCCAGCACTGAAGTAGAAGGAATAATTAATTACATATCATGAAATTATGAAAATGATGGCAATGGCAAGAGAATCTGTAATTCTCTAGCTTCCTTGGACGACACGCCACTGCTCTGCCGTTACTGAATATAAGATTTCCACAAAATTCTTGATTAATCAACACGACGTGTTTCGCTAACACTAGCTTTTTCAAGTAATTTTATTCCCTTGCTCTGCTAGTATAGAGATGAGCTATATTATCACTTTTGCCATCTATCATAGCTCCAACATGTTTCTGACCTGCGCAAATGATTGAATAACGTCTAGCGTATGTAAATTGTGATGATAAACCTGAACAGTAGGTGACAAAAGCTATGATACTAGCGAAGGATGAACTGAGAACGAGGGGTAAATCTCCAGGAAGAATATATACACCTGACTTCCAATGAACAAAGACTTCCAAAGATTACCAAAGACTTCCAAAGACTTCCAACGGAGTGTACACCAGACTTCCAAGGAGATTTACCCTCGACTGAGAAGCACTCGTGTTTATTTCTTTGCTGTTCACTGAGAGTGAGCATCGCGGTTGATGATCAGCATAGATGATCTATGCGATCAGTCAACGTATATAGGTATGCAGAAAATTCAAAAATGTATCAAGATCACTCCTGTGGGATCTAAGTGACAAGAATAACCACAATATGTTCGTGCTGAATGAAATATATAGAATATAGTCGTAGTGGTAACAGTAATCAAAGAACGTTCATTCATTCAGAACTTCAGAAGGTACAGATGTACAGTTGTACTACTTTTTAATGAAATCTGGAACATTATAGGCAGGTTTACACCATACAATCCTTGTACGAACTTGTTTATGCACACAACTGTACCAATAATAACATAATTTATATTGAATATAAGCCATCATGATAGATTCCTGAAAATATATATAACCTAATACCTGACATATTGTGCTGGTCTATCGATACCAGACCTCTAATTAATTTGGGGCAAAATAAATGTTGGGTCTCTTAGATGACAATCGCGAGAAGCTAGTGAAATGAAGAATTTGAACCGTAGGTTCGTAGGTTCTGATCGTCGGTTTCATCGACGCTTTTACTGCCCTTGTTGCCGCTCCATCATTTTCATGACCTAAGATTAATAGTAAACTTCATGATGTTAGATTTAATCAAGCTTTGATTTGTTACAGATATACCCTGACTCTTCTATACCTTTTTAATACCTGATTCAATATCTGAGAGTACGAGGCAATCTTTCTTGGGTGTGTAAGCTCCGCTATTGACCCGGGGCGCATGGAGGTAAGTAACACGTGGCATCGCCATTCGGTAGCCCCTTCGTATTTTTGAATGTAACATGCTACTTTACAGTAATGATATTCGCGCAACTTAATTCAGAAAAGTTTTAGGCAATTCTCCAGTGACCAATAATAGGAAAGACGCCATATTTTCTCACAAAGTGGGTGAAATAAAGGTTAACTATTTAGGAAAACAAGTTTAATTATAACAAAATTGAAAGAAATGTGAGTACCACAGTAATGAAGCGGATAGTTATTTCGCTATTTTTCTATCACCTAATTCTACATTGTTTTTCACATACATTTGTCAAGCGAATGTGGTGCAATTGGATTTTTAGTCCTCCAAATCATATGACTTTTTCCTCATCACACGTATATAGAAATAATACTCATATTTTCATTTTATAGAAACGAGAAAAGAAAATCCCAAAAAATCTGGAATAATGAATATGCCACCTCTTCAATTAACCTACAGACAGAATTTGACGAAAACAACTGGAACACTCACTCTGCATTAGGTATTATATTATATGTTTCAATTCTACGTTCCAAGAAATTAGAGGTGGCACGACATAATCTGTAGGTACTTTGGTAAAACTAACCTCATTCTCTACCACGATCATATAAGTGATTTAATTTGTAGATATAATCTCACATTATAATGAATTATTATTGATGATATTACTTACATCAACTTCATATTCATTCTTGAACTTACAACGCAACAAATTATTTTGATTTAAATAACAATGGCCATCTGGTGAGCACAACGAATCCATCATAAATACTACCTCTGTAAAATCACGAAGACAACTGACTACTAATAAATGATAAATCAGTGAATTTTTGGAGTTTCTGCGTATGTTCTTCAAGCGCAAAGTACTAGCAATCGATAACGCCAGACGGAGGCCCAGTCCGCGTGTTACATTCAAAAATACGAACAGGGTCCGAACGGGCTTCCGAATGGCGATAGCACGTGTTACTTATTACCTCAATGCACCCGGGGCGAGTAGAGAATTTCATCCTATATGACCATCTGTTTACTAACACACCTACACACCATACCCTGCTCCAAACAAGAGGGATCAGGGGCATGAGAACACCTTAGGCTCACCTAACCAATCAATAAAGAGCTGGCCAATTTTCCGGAAGGAAGAGGGCAACAAACTTGAGAAAAAGATAACCTACCAGATTCGTTGACTTTAGGAGTTCTTGTTCTAACTGGTTGTAAAGTAGGAACAACAATGGTATATGTTCTAATTGTGGTTGTAGGTTCATGGAGAAAATGGCATCCTGATAATTCTCTATATGCCTCGAATCGTGCTGTGAGATTAACTATTTGATTCTGGCCAATGTTGAGTACGGATTCTCGCTCTTCACAGGTCTGAAATATGGAAAATTTGTAAGTGTAAATAATTCTCTCTATTATACTGAACTTTATTATAATTCACATTATCGCACCTTAGATCCATGCTAAAGTTTCAAAATAACGTTTTCAGTCATACTGAATATAGGTATAAGTATTCGGAATATGACTGTTCTTATTAGTCAATTTGAAAATGATGTAAAGATAGAATAAAGCAACTCACCTTGTTTGATTTATAGACTGCTGGCCACTGATTATCTGTGTCATAATACAATAATAAGTTGAGATCTCCCTGGTCTTCATTGTATTCGATCTCATACTCGAATACTCCTTTTTCGGAAAGGAAGCAAAATCTTGCTAGAAAACTCCAATTCTAAAGAAAAAAAAATTTAAATGAAAAAAGGAGACTATAGTGTGTACCATATAAGTACTAGTACAATTTTTTTGGGGTGTACATAAGAGTGAATAATGTTCTACAATTCGAGAAAATTCACATCGCTTGTAACGCAGATAAAATCGTATTCCATAAAAATGCCGTTCGTACCACTCAGAATTGTTTCGTCAACTTCTGTATTTGCTGATTGATCGATCGATTTACTTGCGATTTTGATCATCAGATGTTATATCTCATCAACTTCAAGGACTACTGAAAGGGGTGAGTTCACAAATAAGGCAAATACCAGTTATTTATTGTCAGAGCATACATAAAATCTAAAACATGAGGGACAACATCGGTCCCCACACATTATCTGACATACGATTTCCAGGAAAACTTACCCAGCAAACATATTCACATCACAGATACATCGCAGCGATGTAACAATTGCGACCTGCGATATCGCATAAGTTCTCTGCGATATAACAGCGATATATTTTTCGCAATGTAATTGCGATATGTTATTTGTGATGGAAAAGCGATGTGTTTTTGCGATAAAACTACGATGTGATGCGAGATGACATCGCAGTAAAACAGAATAAAAGTTTCTTCAAACATATAGTGTGATAATATAGGTACACTACCACTGACTTCTGATGACTTCTAATATTGATTATGTGTTGTTGCAGAGATTATACACTCCACTGGTGTGTATAATCTCTGGTCGTTGTAACTGGTTGCGGTGATCTCTCGAGTCTATCCTGTCAATTAAATCGTCTTTTCAGCGGCGCTATTCTTGGTACCTACCTACGAATCTCTATCAGATTTGTATCAAAAATTATGTAGTGTGTGTCGGCGAGTTGTAAGCAAACCAAGAATAGTTTGATAGCAATGTAACGAATGTTTGCGAATTTAGCTTCACTTTGATGAGTAACGTTTATTCGTGTATTTTTTCACCGAACAGGAATGTATTTAATAAATTTTCGAGAAGTTCTCACAGATGTGTTCGCTTCGGTACATCGCAGTTTTGTCTCATCGCGACATCACAGAGATATTCATGTCGCAGATGTGTTTGCTTCGGTACATCGCAGCGATGGAACATTCGTGATATCGCAGTGTTGCCTCATCGCGTCATCTCAGAGATGTCATGTCGCATATGTGTTTCGCTCTGTACATCACAGCGATGGAACGTTTGTGATATCGCATTGTGACCTAAACGTGACATGTCATGTCACAGATATGTTGGCTTGGTATATAGTAAGTATAGACTATAGACTGATAGTTGTGACTTACTTCATCCAGGCACCCTGTCTTAGCACGCTATCATTCGTCAGTTACACCCTACGGCATTTAAACTGTTTCACGCTAAAAAAAATTGCTTATACGCCTTATACGGCGAAGGTCCGTCAACAACCCCTTCGAGTTTCCCTAACAATAAACAAAACCTGAATAGGAGCCAAACAATCTAGGCATATGAAAGGATGCGGGCTGATGAAAATCTAACGCTATATAGCCAGGTCTACTTTTGGAACAATGAGAAAATTGTAGAAGCATATCGGATAACAATTGGCAAAAGACCGTTTCTCCTTATTTTGACCCCGCTGAATCTGATTGTTGTCAGATCAAAATTTCAACCAGAAGTGAGATATTCAAGATCACTACCAAGATCGCGACAAGTTTATGGATCCGAGCCATGCCCACTCAAAGTGGTCACCACTTGGGGTATGCCATCCGCAGGCAGGGGAACCCTCCCTTCTGCCGTGGTGCCTGGTTGTAGAAAGCTTGATGACCCTGCTATCGCAGGCACAGGCCTACACAGATGACGTGGTCCTGTTTATTCAAGGACCTTTTTACGGTCTCTGTACTACGAGGTGGCACAGAGGTTCCTATGACTTGTTCAGGAGTCGTGCAGGGAGCAAAGGCTCAGCGTGATTCCTGAGAAAACTCCAATAGTCCATTTCACTAGGAAGAAGAGCCTATAGGACAACCAAAATAGATAACACTCTTTGGTATATAAACCCTTACAACTTTCTAGCTCAGTCAAATATCTAGAGGTGGCCCTAAATTCTGAACTAACCTGAAAAAAATATCTGGACTCCAAACCCAAAAAGGATAGAACAGTCTGTTGAGTATGCAGAAGAACCTTGGAGCGAAATGGTGACTCCAGTCGAAAGTAATCACGAGACATTTTTAAATTATGGAACGAGGCCATATCCAAATCTGCCAATCCTCTCAATGGTCCAGGACAGCATGGTATCCTGTAACAACTTCTCACAGCACTTCTTCATCCACTTTCCGTTTTGGGAAGGATGGTAAAGGCCGGGGCCGAGCCTGCTACACCGTAGCGGGCTCGTGTGGTTCACAGACGGGTCCAAAATGTATGGCAAGGCAGATGCGGAAATACAGGAAATACATCCTGGTCTGCATATGAGAAATTCAGAGGCGGGCTTATAGTAATAGACTTATCTCAATTTGTTCGAACAGCCAAGCGGCTCTCGAAGTTCTGGGAACTGACTGACAACTCAATAGCTATAGCCAAGAAAGTTCACCCACTCTGATGGGTGCCGGGACACGCCGAGGGCATCAAAGGAAACGAATGTGCCGATGCCTCAGCAAGGCGGGATGATTCAGAACCAAAAGGCTCTGGATGACCTGCTATGGCAACAATTCCAGAGGTCTCGGCAGAAGCAAGAGGACTGAGGCAGGCATGGCTCCACATTACGAGCCATGCAAACGCTAAGGATACAACCTCCAATAACTAAACAGAGGAGGGACTCTATGCTGATAGGAATTTTAACCGACCACAGTAGACTTGGAGACACCTGCTCTTATCGCTGTGGTTGAGGACTCAATGTGTACACTATGCGAGGAAGTAGACGAGACCTCATCCCACATCCTCTGCGCCTGTCCCGTTGTGGCTCGCTAGAGAATCAAATGCCTAGACACGAATCTGCATATTTGGAGCCTAAGCAGCCAATATAAACATGCCCCTGATCAGATCATTGACCTCCTGTGACGGAATCAGATTTCTAGCGATTAGATGAGTGCGGGCTCTGTGGAGGGACTGTGGGCTCAGGCAACGGGCCCGTACCGGCTCTAGCGCTGGACCTGGGGGCTCTGATACAGAGCTTGCAAGGAACTAGTAGCGGTCTGGCACTGGGCTAGCTGAGACAATGGCGAAGAGCTCATCGGGGTTTCGGAATGAGCCAGGGTGGAAAACACAGGGGAGCCTCATGAATGGAAAAAAATGTCTGCACCCCTTGAGACCAATTGTGAGAAATGAGGGACAAACGATAACAATCAAAGAGCTCCTGAGAGCTGGCCCCCTGACTTCGAAATCAGAAATCCAAAAAATATCGCGACAAAATTAAAAATCTGTTTTTGCCGATTCGTTTGTACTAGAAATGTGATTCTAATGTCTAGGAGTCTATATAGGAATGTAAATATTTCGTGGTCAATAATATCATTGGGATCCTCGAAAGTATAACCGGAAGTAAAATTTCCAAGATATGGCAGCCAATATATTTTTTCAATATTTTGGGGCGAACGAAAGGAATCCCTTAGAAAAATATTTGGTACTAGTTATATAGGATAGGTACGGATTTTGTGTAACTCTGGTGCCGTTAGTCATACAAAATGACGCATTTCCCAACTGATGGTTACGTTAAATATCTATTTTTTCAAATACCTGACCCTATGAACAATAAGATTCGAAGTGTGTCAAGCATTTATCTGTTGATACTGCGATGACTCATACTTACTTCAATGTCAATTTAGAGGAGAACTATTTCCTATTCAATTTTTTGAAGATTCCGAGAGAAAGGACGCTATTTGAAATAATTACTGAAAGGAATCCGGATGATTAGCGATGAATCAAAATTTCTGCATGTTTTATCAAACGATGACGATGACGTCTTCAGTGTCGCCATATTGATTTGATAAAAATGTGTCTTGCGTCGCCATTTCGAAAACAAATGGCCACTTGTGATATATATTGTGAACTTCACGGCCACCACAGAACCAAAATGAAGTAAACTTATTAAACCCGAAATTATCTTCTACAAAATGATGATTATATCAACAAACAAGTGCTCCCGACCAAGAGCGCTTCAATAATGCCACCGGTTTCTCTATCCGTTACGTATCTGACACTTATCATCGCCTAATCACACCCGTGATATCACTTTCCTAATCATATTCCTGTATTCTTGAGATAACGACAGTCACAGGGAAGAGGGAATTCTCTGATGTATCAATAAATGACGTGAAAATATCTACAGGGTTCCATTCAAAATTTTCGACCCAGGGGGATATTTCCGGTGAAAATGGAATTAATATTCGATTGTTTTTCTAATAATGTGGGTTTTCTTCTTCGATCCAATTTTCGAAAGAATAATATGAAAAACAACCAAATGGCGCCCTGGCCAATGATTTATTCGTTATTGTCAGTTGGTATTTTTCCCTATTGTGATTCCACCCTGTATATTTTGCTATATTAATTCATTCGTTTCTCATTAACCTTCACATAATATAACATAAAAACATGTTTTCTCATATAAATAATAAGAATTCACGATTTCAGAATAATATATTGTTTATTTCATCAATAGGTAATAAGTATAATCAACTTACATAATTAGTCCATCGAATAACTCGCGAATAAACAAAAAATCCCATTGGAACTCGAAGTTGTACTTTTACGGTTTTTTGGAGACAAACAAGAGATGCATGAATTCTACAAAAAATCATTATTTCGCAAATGCAAATTTGGAAAAATCCAAAAACGTAGAAGGATGAATACTCCCAATGTATCGAATTGTGGCTGACCTATCACAAGAAATCTGAGTTTCACTTTACATCCTGTGTAGTCGTTCTCTGTTGATTTTTTTCTCATTATTGTAGTTGTCCTTGAAACCGATGAAATATCACATCTAATACCGATAAAACCGCAAGTCAAATGACCATATCATGCAAGTATCTATGTCCAAAAACTTCGAAGTAA